AAAACATATGTACTCAAATCTGCTATAAAACTGAAGCCATATGGCCCCCCAGAAACATGTATTATAAATAGGGACAGACTAGAAAGGAGAGAAGGTATTTAGGACAAAACCAATATCTCTGAAACAAAAAAAAAACAATTGTGGTCTTGTAAGAGGGAAGAGCTATAGATCTGAAGTAGTTAAACGAACAGGAAATATGTATGGTAATAAATACGTAAATGCTGATTCAAATGATAGAGAATGCAATGAATGTGAAATGGTAGCTATTCAAAAACATTGCTAAAAATAAAACCATTTCGCTAAAGGTTGTTACTGTTTTTCATGATCAAATGTGAAGTTGGCATATCATCACTGCTATAGGTGGAAAATTCACATATTGGGTAGTACTGGTGTACAATAAGTTCACAGGACTAAATAATGCTCATATTATACACGCTGGGTACTAAGAATATTCCAAAAAAAGCCTTTATAATATGAAAAAACCTATAGAGCTGAGTTGGGAAAATATTTCCTTGCATAAGAACCTCTTTTAACATTACAGTGATTGTTAAACAAATGTAAAAAAATATTTTTAGCCGAATGCTTATCGATCATACTTACTACAGTACATATACTGTAAAAATATCTTTATATGAATCTGGATCATTTTAAAAGAGGTTTTGCTTATCTTCAAGATTTTCACCAAAACCTATAAATCAAATTTCACACCTTCTTCTCTGTAGACATGTGGTCAATTCACTAAATCATACTGCATTTGGTATTTTTTAGCAGTGTATTATTTTCTATTCTGTACTTTTAGAAACTGTGTTTACAGGTCAAAAAATGGATTTACTCTATGGTTTAGCTAAGTTTGTATACTTTTTATCAGTATTTTGTAAGTCATTTGTTTTAATCCTTATGATAGCATCAGCTCCTGACTGGTAATAATTGTGAAGTTCTGTGAAATGAACAGAGAAAAAAATGGAGCAATTTAAGCTGGAAATAAAAAAATGCTTTACTTCATGCAGGATAAGAATACTAATATTTAAGAAGCCTTACCTGCAGGAGAAAAAAAAACACACACAAAAAAAAATCCAAAACAGCCTAATAGGGAGTACAAGTTTTACGATATAGAATAAGATAAAAATCAGAGATGGGAGGTTTACAGATATATTAATATGATAAGCCGCTGGGCTTATATAAGAAACTGCAGCATAGCAGAAGCAAGACACCATTGCTATCTTTCATACACTCCTGGTGGGCTGAGCTAAGGGAAGCTCTCTAAAGATGAACTCCAGTCCAATGGAAGAGCAGCATATTGTTATAAAAAAGAAGAGTTGCTGAAATCAATAAATGAAAGCAGTTAGAGTGGCTGTCTACTGTGCTTGCTGTGGGAAGCACCTGTTTAGCAAGCAATGCATGACACTCTGGAGAGTGCTATGTCCACCACTCCATCAAACTATCTTTATTTTAAATTGCTGATGCTGAGCTTTTTCTTCAAAGACAGACCTGATCAGCTATGACACACTTAGAAAGGCCACAATCAGAACCATTTTTTATTCCATCCACATAGATGAAGAAAAGGACCTTATAAATATTTTTTTTTTAACTGTGTGGTACCATCCCAGTAGGTGCTAGGATTAGATAGATAGGATTAGTTATGTTTTTGATTAATTGGTAAATTTAGTTGTCACTGAAGGCAGAGTGATTGTAATTATTGCTAGGTAAAAGTATAGTTATCTCACTGTACTGAGTGAGCTGTGATCGTGGAGTATGGTCTGCTCTGTGTGCCTGATGAAGGGGTCCTGCGAGACTCCAAAACGTTGCCTTGCTGTAACTATGTGATCGTTCATTAAAAGTTTTGGACCCATATTGGTGATCCTCAGTGTGCTGGTGACAATTCCCCCCCTCAGGTGCTGCTAGTCTGCCTAGCTTGCCTCTGTATCCAGGAGACTGCAGAAGCTTCTGGATTATAGGTGTGAAGCTAGGCAGAAGGCAGTGAATATGGATACAGCATACACCTATGTGAGGAGCTCCAAGGCATGCTGGGTAACTGTATAAATTCAGTGAGCACACAGGGCTCTGGGTCTTTCTTAGCTTGGACTGCCCATGCTTGGGAGAGGGCACGGTGCAGTTGCTGTTGTAGACCTCAGGTGGGCTACCTGAGGGCCTGAATTGCTGAGACCCGGGTTCTGCTATGCTGTCTCCTGAAGATCTGACCTGGTGTCCAGTTGCTTTTGGCCCTTGTGAGTACAGACATCCCTAATTATCCTAATGATCTGTGTGCTGTTTAACTCCCTCTGGTGCTAGGAAGTCAGCTGCAGGTCTAGCAAAGGGGACACTGGCTGGTGTTCCAAAGTGCTTTGTCCATTTGCCCACTACTACTTAAAGGAACACTGCTCTGGGCTCTAAAGAAGTTACTGCTGTTACTGCTACTACTTGTTTGCTACTGCCTAAAGCTGAAGTCCACAGTTTGATTCAAGCACGGACTCGAATATAACTTATTCTGAAGATTGGACAAAGTCTTCAGTGTACATAGTTCCTATTCTGGAGTATCCCACTCATCTCCCTCATCCCTATCCCATACTCTTCAAAAATAAAAACAACAAAACCCTAGACTGATATAATAGTGGCATATTAAAAGGGAATTTTAGATTTTTTTTTTGCTTTTTTTTATGTATGAAAAACAGCAACTTCCTATAACATTGTATGTTAATGTTTACAATACTTGTATGTATTGTTCGTAATTATATAATGTATGTGTATAGAGGAAGCCACATTTGCTTATGGCATGCTTTGGTTCCGGCTTAGTTATGTTGTATAATAGTTATGCCTTGCTGATCCTCATAGTTTCATGCAAGTTTACCGGACAGAGTGGGGTTTATTTACTAAAGCTGGAGAGTCCAAAATCAGACTCCCTTCTGCATAGAAACCAATCAGCTTCTAACCTCAGCTTGTGCAATGAAGCTTTGGCAATGAAACCTGGAAGCTGATTGGTTTCTATGCAGAAGGGAGTCTGATTTTGGACTCTCCAGCTTTAGTAAATAAACCCCAGTCGGTCTCCCTTGCAATAGCAGACTTTTTTGCAATCTCTAATGACCTGAAACACTCGAAATGTACCTGGTAGCCAGAGATCATATGATATTTGCCTAGGATTTAGGTCAAATGAAGAAACTCAGGAGAATTATTTTTGATCACAACAGAAAAGTAGTTTTTAAAAATTTCATAACAGTTCCATTTTAAGTACTCTGCAAAGAATAAAACACAAATCTTCTGCATGATGAATCAGGGGATACAGCCAGCCTGATGAGTGATTCCACTTTTCATCCTGGCACCCATATTGTGTAGCTGGCTGTCCTCCTACCTATATTACTGTCTAAATGCTGGTAGGATTATCCTAAGAATAGTTGGAGAAAAAGCAAGTCAGTTGCCACAGATAAGCATTTAGCATCCAGATCTTCTGCCTCTGACATCAATGTCCTACTCTATGCAATCCTCATGCTAATCCTCTGTACAACTCCAACCCACACACTGTCCGTCCATGTAACCAACCCTTACACTAAACCTCCCTGTAACTCCATTCCTTACACTAGCCATCCCTTTAATCCCAACCCTCACAGAAATCCTCCCTAATGCACCAAACCCCAAACTAATCTTCCCTGTAACTCCAATCCACAAACTAAACCCCCTGTAACCCCAACCCTTATACTAACTCTCCCTATAACCCCAGTCCTCATACTAATCCTCCCTATAAAACCAAACCCTTACCAAAACCCTCCCTAATGTAACCCCCCCCCCCCCCACTTTGCAGAATGAGAGGGAACAGCACATATTTTTATGATAAGAGACAGCACTTGACCCAGGAGCAGAGGTAAGAAGGCTATTAAGTCTAGTTGCTTAAACTGTCCATACAACCTAAAAGGGACAGTATATCAGGGCTTGACAAATGTGCTTTGAATCTAGGAGCCAGCTAAAAAAATTAGGAGCCATTTTTTTTGCATAGCGTGGGTTGTCAGTGCCCTTAGAAAGGCAACTTTTGAGCGACAAGCTTCACGACAATCATGGCAAAACTATGTTTTAGGTGGCATTGAAAATAATGGCACCTGAACCTGTGCTTTGTGCTCATATGGAATCTGCCACGATTCCAAAATTCCCAGGTGTGAATGGAGCCACCCTAGTTCACACATATGCGATTCTGGATGTATTTTTAAACTCACTAGTTCGCATGACAGGCTAGATATTGTGTGTTCCTATTGAGTTGGTTCACAGATGCAATACACCTGCATTGTGTTTTGGGTGTCATTAAGAAAAGGGTCCTGTGCGAGTTTGTAGCGGTGCATTCCAGACTCACAGGTAATAGAGTAGAGTGGCATGCGGAGATAAGTGTTCACATAGGTTTGCTTTTGATAGGAGTTTTTGCACTGAAGTCGGTGGGAGGCAATTTTGCATTGAAGTCAATGGGAGGAGTTTTTTGGCATTGAAGCCAATGGGATGTAATTTTGCATTGAAGTCAACAGGATGCGATTTTGCATTGAAGTCAATGGGAGGCGATTTTGCATTGAAGTCAAAGGGAGGTGTTTTTGCATTGAAGCCAATGGGTGGCATTTTTGCATTGAAGTCCTTGGGAGGTGTATTTGCATTGAAGTCATTGGAAGGCGATTTTGCATTGAAGTCAATGGGAAGAGTTTTTGGCATTGAAGCCAATGGGGCGTGATTTTTCATTGAAGTCAATAGGATGTGATTTTGCATTGAAGTCAATGGGAGGCGATTTTGTATTGAAGTCAATAGGAGATAGTGTGTGACCCAGGTGCCAGGACACAATTTCTAGTCGCCATGGTGACTCTGGAGCCCTGCAGTATATAATATTCATTATATATTTATTCCTTTATAGATATGTATTGAAATACTCCACATTGTTGTACTTTTTGCTGCAATCCCTTTGATACCAATAAAAAATGACTCCAAAACTACTTTGAACCATACAGTAGTAATGAAAACATAGCTTTAGTTAACGATCTTACCATTTTCCCTCAGCATCTTCCTGCAATAGTTGGATGACATCCCCATTTCTCACCAGTACATCATCAGATCCCCTCTTCTTGCAGTCAGCCAGTGCTTTGTATCTACCAGGTGACTGTAAAACCACATAAGAAACCATTACTGGATAATGCAGCAAAAACAGTCTTGAGAAACCAGCGCTTGCATAATAAATGAATCAGTTGTCTTTGGTTGGCTGAAGTTAAAGCAGAACTCCAGTTTGGATTTGGCTGCAGAGGGGATCCTGACTTCTTTTTTTTCCTATGTATTACATGTTCTGCATGCAGGACACTCTTGTGTACTCTCTCCTGGCAAATAACAGCCAGTGGTCTTTACTACAGTCTAGAATAGCACAATGGTCAAACCCACAGCAGCTTGAACCTCACAGACCTCTGGGAGAACAGAACTAGATTGGTCACATGACTACTGTATTACATTCCTAAATAAAGGTTATTTAGCTATAAATGTAAGATAAATAAATAGTGTATGTTGTCCAGGAGTAGATAAAGGGATCATGATAACTTTGATGCTTGTAGTTCTGCTTTTAGTGAATCTAGAATTCCCCCAGATTGTCCTTATTCATATATCCAACATCGGGGACAATGATATTCACATATCTTTGTCTGATAGCAACATTCATATATTTAGTATGGAATGGGACAAAAGATAAAATGGTTTTCAAGCAAAACATGCATATAATTCAAATGCTGAATGTCTTTTTGGTCCCTTACTTGTTAATTAAACCCATCAGAGTCCCAAATGAGAAACTATTTAACACTGTTAATTTAGAGCAGCAGCTAGGCTGGTGGCATTCTTCACATTTGTAAAAGCAATTTACTAACCAACTGCACTGTGTCCTCCTCTTCTGTGTCAGAACAAGCACATGAGCTGGACCAGCCTTCAAGTCCTTCACAGATCTCTAAAGACTGGGACATTCCACTCCAACCTGTAGTTTTACAGATGCAGATGTTTGAAATGTTTTAAGCATTGTGCATTCACAAAAAAAAGTCATATTTACTAAAGACTGATGCATTTGATAACATGTAAACAGGATGGCTTGGAATAAATGAAGCAGTAGGCTATTGCCATAGCAGTTGTAATTACAATATAGAGATAACATTGTTGTGGGGATACTTTGTGGGAAACTCAAATAACAAAATCATAACACACATTTAAAGTATGCATTTATTTTCTAGTTGCCTGTTATGCATATCAATTAATGGACCAGCTGCATCATCCTTATGGGCTAGCCCTGTACATAGAACCAGGTGATATCCATAACTATCTACTGCTATCTATTTGGATAATAACTGTTACAATTGGTGGCGTACTACCCATTAGGGTTACCACTTCATCCCTCTAAAATCCAATTGCACAGGCTCTCTTGCAAGTTAAATGTAGGTACAATACCTGTGAAGATATTTACTACTTTACTAAGCCACGGAACCTGTATAATTTATATGTGTGCTATTTTAAAGGAATAAGGCAGCAACCCAATCACCCACATTTGGCACTATATATGATCATGGCGATACCTGGTTATATGCCTCTATAATCAATAAGGACATTAGTGATGCAGTGATGTCAAATCTCCACAGAGGAGCCAGCAAAATGTTGTTTCTATGTAATTTTCAGTGAGAAAGTCACAGGCACAGACAGAATGAGGCTGAACAGCTCTGAGTGCTTATTATAGCAGTCAGAAAAATAATCTTCATAAAAAATACATGTGGTTTTACATATAGGAATAGAAAAACAACACCAAATCTCAAATGTTTTTCTCCAAGGCTCTGTTTCCATTACTTTTTACAACTCAAAACTTAAAGGCTATTAGAATATATTACCAAAGGTACAAAAAATATATGAATTAGTGCTTGCTTATGTGTTTTAAACATGTAGGCTTTCAATGGGGATAAGCAAAGAAACAGTATGGTTCAAGCCAGAGATGGGCAGGGACACATTATGGTTCCCACTAGAGACAGGCAAAGACGTGATATGCTTTTCATAGAGAATGAGCAGAGAGAAGAGACAGTATGGTTTCCACTGGAGTTGGGCAGAGATACTGTATAGTTTCCATTGGCAATGGACAGAGTCATTGTATGGATTTCACTGTAGACAAAGTATGGTTTTTACTGGGGATAAGCAAAGACATTATATTGTTCCCACTGGAGATAGGCAGATACACAGTATGGTTTCAACTGGGCATAGAGAGAGACACAGTATGGTTCCATTTGGGATGAGCAGAGACACAGTATGGTTTTCACTGGGAATGGGCAGAGGTATAGTTTGGTTGCAGCTGGGGATAGGTAGAGACACGGTATGGTTTCTAATGAACATGGGTAGAGGCAGTGTATGGTTCCCACTGGGAAGTAGAAGAGACACAGTATGGTTCCCACTAAAAAGGGTCAGAGACACAGCATGGTTCTCTCTGGGAATGGGCACAGCCACAGTATGGTTCTCACTGGGAATGGACACAGACACAGTATAGTTTACCACTGGGAATGATGGAGACACAGTCAGGTTACCACTGGGGATAATGACAGACACAGTATGGTTCCCAGTGGGAATGGGCACAGACATAGTATGGATCTCACTGGGAATGGGCAGAGGCAAAATGGAAAGAATAGACATAGTATTTGCCACTGAAGATAGAGTATGTTTCCTAATGAATATGGACTGTGACACAGTATGGTTCCCATTAAGGACTGGCAGAAACAAAGTATGTTTCCCACTCCAAATGGGCAGAGACACAGTATGGTTGCTACTGGAAATGAGCAAAGACACTTTATTGTTCCCATTGGCAATGAGCAGAAAGATAGTATGGTTCCCACTAGGTTAAAATGGTCTTCATGCAGGATAGGCACAGCCAACTAATATTTTGGGTGTATGCTTTGAAGAATAGCTAGTTTGCATATTAGCATCTTTTCAGCTTCAAAAAGTACGGCAAAAATGTTACTGACCTATGGTCAGAAATCTAAAGCACTCTGCCATTAAATAAAGAATTATTTTATTGGATCAAACGGGTATAACATATGACTGTTACTAAACAGTAAATTACAGTTCATATATTGTAGTATAAGATACCAGCATGTCCACTATACTCTTCATTTACAGGAAAATCAAAATTAAGGTTTTGAGTGGCAGTGACACATACCTTTGTGTGGTTTATGCTGAGGTGAGATATTTAAGCTCTCCAGTGTAACAGGACTGTTATTCTCAGAGTCATTTTCCTCAGAGCTTACTGACACCCTCTGTAATTTTCTTAAAAGAAAAAAAAAAGATAAATACAGTTTAAAACAGACTTGACAGAGGGCTATACAAATATACTACCCAGGATTGTAATTCCTCCCTGGAACAACCCTTGAGAAAATGCAATAAATAGTTGATATGCCTTCAACTTTGCTTCAATATACAATTTCAGATGTGGGGCTTTGTCTCTGTATCAGAAATGTATCAAGACAGACCAGAAAGATTTACAAAGGTTAATTTAATATAAAAAAAATGGTGGATCAATGTGCCTATAGATGACTATCAATATTCCTAATAATTTACACACAATTGACCTACAGCAGTACCAGGTAATGAGCTAATATAACCCTCTGCATGTTACAGAGGAAATCCATTACAATTATTCACATAAAGGAACCAAGAATGGAATTTGAAATTAACAACATAAATGGATATTGATGGATATCTTGCCAATGGATATTGACAAGATTCAAATTATGACTAGAAAACCTTTAGATTACACTTTACCAGAACTGTACAAGGTGGTGATCATAGTAGATATAATTCAGATCTCCTCTTTGATCACAGGACACTTATTTCACAGGGACATGGGTTGCAGCATTGTGACAAAACACCACAACTATAAAGAGCTAAGTCTGCAAAGCTTTGCCCCAACTTCACTAACATTCTGGTGGTACTACAATGCCATCATTCACCTTTGATTAAAAAAGCATTTTGCAGCATCAATAGAAATCACAGCACCCACAGCAACCAAAACCTGCAGCCCATTCTAACTGAGAAATAGCTAGTTTCTTATAGAGAACCTGCATGAACAGCTGGCACCAGGTAGAGCCAAGGTTACTATACAGTGCCAGAGGCAGCCATTGCCTGATTCCCAGATACAGTGCTAGTTACAGGTCAGGCAGGTTAGTGTGCATGATGCTGCAAAGGTATCCTTTGACCTGGAACTAGCACTATGTCCTGAACTCAGGCCCTGGCAATATCCTGTGCTGGATGGGAGTGGTGGGTGTGATAGATAGCAGCTGCCTGACAGGTTCCCTTTAAGGCTAAAACATGTTTATCTGAAGCCCATGCACTTTTCATGCTTTTGCTAAAGTATGTGCATTGTAAGGCCTTGATCACGAGTCCTTTTTATCAATCATTTACTATGTGCCTCCATCACACTAAACTTTATTTCCCTCTTCTGCAACATCTGAAGATATCAAGCTGGCCAGAAAAGAAAATTGTAATAAATACCTGTGCAGCTTACTTGTAAAACAGGACTATACATGGAAATATTAAAACAGTTTCACCCCCTTCTCCGCTACAGCCAGATCACAAAGCGGCCAAAGATTGGGTGTGCTCCCAGTCCTGTCCCGGGATAAAAGCCATGAGCAGCTATGGGCAAGGCCAACCAAAGAATATTTTTTATTATAATGTATGTCCATATACATATGCTTCAGGCTTTGGCCTCAGCTAACTCTATATTGGTAATGATTTAAGTGATGCAGAACTTTAAGAACAAGCATGACTGGTGTTCTTTTCCATGTAGCAATCAGACATGGAAAAAATAAAATGAAACTCCCCCCCCCCCCCCCCCCCCCCCACGTGGAAAAGGCCTTAGTGCAGATACTTTTGTGGCCTGCTGCAAACCATGCTACATTTTGTGCTTAAGAGAGGAAAGCCTGCCAAAGAAAAAAGCAGTGATTTAAATAGCTGGTAGATGACCCTAAGCTTGCTGTAAGCAGCAAACGCAATAACGTACCCCTCACTGATTTGTGGTGACAGCACAACCTGGTCTGAGAACGAGTTCTGTTTCTGTTTCTCTACTGCAACAGAGACATGACATGAATGTGTATCATCACATACCATAGGTCAGGTCCAATACTGGCTGTCTCTCTGTATATACTCATAACATCTCATTACCTTTCATAAGTTCCCCTTGCTTGGTCAGTATCTTCCTGATTTCATTCAACCATGCTGCCTTCTGTTCTGCAGTCTGAGCCTGAGGCACAGAAAAAGAAAAAAGATTTTAAGGGTTACATAGGTAAAAAGAGCAACAGCCATGGGCAAAATATAGCATACATTGGAAACAAATCAAATTGGAAGAAACATTTGATAATGAAAAGCTTGAAGCACCACTCCAAGCAGAGGGTGTAATGTTTCCCTACCATTGTCCAGGAAATGGGAGCAGGCATCCATTCACTATTTCCTTTAGATTGTAAGCTCCACGAGCAGGGCCCTCCTATTCCTTCTGTACTGAAATGTATTGTAATTATACTGTCTCCCTTATATTGGTAAGCTCTGCCCAAACTGTTGGCGCTATATAAATCCTGTATAATAATAATATGAATATTCCAGGAGTGCTTGAATGTAAAGTGTAAAACGCAGCTCAAAACCAAACCCAATGCTCATAGAATATGTTAGTTTGTGTGGCCTCAGCCAGTGTCGTTCTGACCGCTGACGCATTTCGGCCCAACCACGATCACAGAGCTCCGATGGGTGGAGCGGCACTGGCTGAGGCCACATAATCTAACATATTCTATGAGTGGGTTTGGTTTTGAGTGGTGTCTTACACCTTATATTCAAGCACTCCTTGAATTTTGATTGGTTGATATTTGCTACTGCACACTGCTCTTTACTCAATAAGCCTGGAATAAGATACAAGGGTTGTCAATATTACCCTTCTTAGCTGACTGGCTGCTGTGCTGACCCTCCATATTGTATTCCAATCATTTTTTCAATGTATATATGCATTGTAGAGGCCAAAAATAAATATAAAAAAATGCACATATACATGCCAATGGATTTCCAATGAACTAAGGGATTTTCTAAAAAGACAGCACAGCAAAAGTTGCTATTAGACATTCTGTTTATGATTGAAACCTCAGCATAAGGAAAACAAACAATTACATGTAAACAGGAGACTGGAGCTCTCACTGCTGCCTAGAAATACAAAATAATCATATTTCATATTTACATGAATAAAATAATAGTAATATGTTTTTACCATAATAAATAAAATAATACATTAATTTTTACAATACAGTTAAAGTTCATGTAAAGGCAGGCATAGCATTAGATCCTTTATCAGGTTTGTGTTGTCATCTAAGTCTCTGTTGGGATTTGTCTTCTTTATCTGTACTGACTATTGTCACAGACACAAAGGTGTAAGAAAATCCCAGCACAAGATGTAAAGGAAAATCTCCCACTGAAGACCCCTTTTCTGATAAAAATTGTCTAAGGGGGGAATTGCTCTCACTTTGGCAAGATTTCCTCTAATTTCCTCTTGTGTCTCTGGGAAAGGATGTAAAGAGAAAACACCCAAACATACCTATACCCCGACAAGGGTTTTAATGCCTCTACACTCTATCCAAAGCTAAAAAAAACTTTTGCCTAATCATACTTTTTAACAAAATTGATTTGATCCATTCCAAACAGAAAAGGTATGTGCAAATATTTTGCATTTTTTTCAGTAATCCCTTTTTTTCTGATCCATCACAGGGCTTTAAAATATGTAAAATGTGTCTTTTTTTGAAGGAACTAACTAATTCTCTGTTTGTGACTGGGGTGCTGCAAGGGTGTATTCTGCTTAAAGATCCTAGTGCTAAACAACATCTCTCCTATCCATCTCATAAAGGTGGGAGGCATGAAAGAGTGCCCATGGCTGGTTAAATGCTGGATTCAGTGATCTTAGTAAGTGCTGAAATGGTGTGTGGCCAGCAATAAAGTTCAGAAGTACAGAAAATAGAAATTATTAAAAAAAAAAACGTGGTATTGCTCCTGGGATTCTTTTCGCCTTTCTAAACCGCTTAATTTCAAGTAACTGCCATTGATGCTTGGCAAATTCAGTGGGTTTTTTTTAAGTTTGTGACAGCTAGTGGGGGAAGAAATTCCCGCCTTGCTTTCATAACAAGGGTGCGGAGGCGGAGGTTATCCATTCACAATGTTCTGTGAATGGGAAGACTACAAGGCCCAATAGCCTTTGCGGCTGTCGGCTTGTAGTTTTCAATGAACTGCCATGGCCTTGTGGTAGTTCATTGATTCTTCCTGTCAGTAGAAAAATGTCTGCCCATATGATGTACGGCAAGCAGCCTATACTGGCAGTCTGCAGGAGACCTGCATGGCACTAGTGATTTACTGATCGCTGGTGCATTGCTTTCCAGATTCTTAAAACAAACAATAGTAAATGCACGTTTTTTTACCTGCAAAAAAGTGTGCATTTATTATTTGTTGTTAAAAGGTGATCTTATACTCTAAGATTTGTGTTATCTGATAGCTGTGCATGCTGGCTCTCAGAAAACAATCACCACACACTGTTTAGCATGGATGGGGGGATGGATATATTTCTAGCTTCCTTTTCTGTCTGATCACCTGGAGAGGGAGTGAGAGGAATACCTTCTCCATTTGGACATAGAGAGCAGTAAAATCCTGATGGAATCTAATCTTTCCCCACACTATTGTGAACAAAATAAAATGCTGCAATTGGGCTTTAAAGTTGTTTTTTCTCACTTTTGGAACCCCTGTGGTGTGCCTCCTTTAGAAGACAAACTCATAGAAAACTACTGAAATTCCTTTGCCCTAGAACACAGGTGTCAAACACAAGGCCCGAGGGCCGAATGCAGATAGAGGCCTTTTCTTGTAACCCTTAGACCTCCCCTGTAGACCCCACTTGTCTCCACCTTGTCTCAGCAGTCAGCAGCAGGGAGTTTGACAGAACTCCTCCACCAAATCCTGCACTTCTCCATGCACCAGCAAGAGGCTCATCTCTGCAACCCCCCACCCTTGGTCTCAGCAGTTGGCAGCAGAGAGGAGGACAGAACTCCTCCTACAGATCCTGCACTTCTCTCTGCAGCACTCCCCAGGTCTAGGCATTCAGCAGACTCCAGCCCTATGGTCCTCCTCCAGACCCTGTACCTTCTGCTTCCCAGCTCCTCCTCCAACTTCTTCCCGGTAGCAGCAGGTAAGGGGGGTGTATTGTGATGTAAAGGAGGGTGGGGCGTTCGGGACATCTAGTCTTACAAGTACAACTGGCCCTTTGAGGGCAACCATAAAGTTGATGCAGCCCGCCATGAAATTGAGTTTGACACCCTTGCCCTAGAAAGATATTTCATCAAAGTCAGACATGGGTGAGAGGAGAAGAGCTCTCACTTTGAACAAAAGGGACCTCCCAGTCAATATGCAGTAATACAGTGAAGGTTTTTTTCTATAAAAACAAACCTGTACAACATAAACCTCTTCTCGTCCACTGTACCAAATTTCAAACTTGCGATTATCCCCCTTCACATTTTCTGTGATGCCAACCGCATTCATCTAGCAGAGGACAACAGAAAAGGATTTATTATACCATGACAGTCTTTGTCATTTGACAACCCAGACAACGTCAAGCATATATTTAACATACCTTTAGAAAGTGCTTGAAGCTGTAAGACGGAGTTTTATCATGTCCATCGCCATGTTCCTCCCTCCTTTTACAGAACACTAACGCCCTTTCATAAAGGAACAGATGTCTCTGCATTGGTTTAAAACGAGCAAGTTCCTTCATTTTTGTGGATCCTTTTTTATGGGCGATCCACACACTGAAGGAACCCTGCATAAGTATTCGGCCCAGATCGTTTATGTCTCCCTGCAAGGAGCAAACATTTTAGGTAGAATATGTAACTCTTTTAATATGCTAAAATGCAGTAGACCATGAGGTTGCCAAAAGACACAATAAAGCTCAATCTGGCATATTTTATTTATTTGTAATTTTTTATTAATTACAGGTTCAAGGTCAGGCTGGGAGATGATCACTCGTCTATGGCAGTCAGTGGCCTTGGTGTTGTATTAAATGCTTAGGTTTTCAGGTAGTACATCTGAGACTAGGCCAGCATCAGAATAGTCTGAATAGAACTAAACATGCTAAATATGATTATACATTTTTAAAGAATCGGCATTTGGTGGATGTATCTTTTTTGGTGTCCATAAGAACCTTTAGTTGCACATTTAGCACATCTCTGTATCTGGTACAGCATTGCTCAAGTATGTTGGTGACAAGAAAAAGGGCATTTTCAGCAGTTGAATTACTTCAAAATAATAGAAAACTAATGAATTGTGATTTTGTTTCTTTTTGTCAATATGTGTTTAATAAGGTAGAGATAATAACACTGTAATACTTACGTTATATCCTGTAATTGCAATCTGGTGCATGGAATCATTTACAGATTTTAATAAATCCAGCATAGACACTAATGCTTCTTGTAATTCCTGGACTCCATCTGAATTAATGCTATACTTCAATAATTCCTGTTAAAACAAGCTCATGTTAGGTATCCCTAATACTGCTTTCGTTTATTGAATAATTATAAGATGTTATAAAAAAAATTATAATTTTATAGTTTTAGGTTGCTATGAAGCAAAGACCAGATAAATGGCCTCTTATAACGAGACAAAAATAGAACATCTAGGAAAGGTGAAAGAATTACTAGAAAATGAAAAACAAGCTACAGTATAGGCTTTTCAAAAATGTTTAATAATAATTTATTTATGCTTACTAAAGTTATTATTCCACTAGGAAATAATTTAGTGAAGATAAATTAAAGTAAACCTGGTCCAGTCTAAAACCTTTCTAAGCTGAAAATGCTAACATGAGCAGCACATGCTAGTCTCTACATCCTATTGCCCTGAGGAGACGGAGAAAGGATTCTGAGTAATTTTATTACTGTCTGGAGTGAGTAGCTGTGAATCAGAGGATTGTACAGCGGGGTATAAATATCCCACAACAAGGACAGCAGTTCATCCATAGTGGGGCATTGTGGGTGTTTTCCAGCTCCGTTTCCCCCCCCCCCCAGTGGGGTGATAACCAGAACAACTCTCTGCTAGGACACTGACTGTAATTATACAACTCGTATATCCCAGCTGGCTACCTATATCAATACACATTCCATTTTTTACCAGTATCAGCACTTTTCCAGAGGGACTTCTTTGGGGGTCATTGTCTATCTTTTCTTAGGATAGGGGGACCATGGAAATATAGGGAGGAGTGTGTGGTGGTGGCCCTGGGTGCCTTGGAGTGGGGTGGGGGCCCTTCCGGGGGGTGGTAAGTGTGTGGGGTTCGGGCTGGGGGAGGGGGGTTTTGGTTGAGGGTGGAGGGATGGAGGGGTGGACTGGACTTGGGGGCATGCATTGATATGTTTGATATGCTAATAACATATTTTTTTTTATGTCCAAAAGAAATACTGCTGTTGTCAGCCTATGAGGTGCAATATCCTTTTTTGGTGTTTTTTTGTTTATTGTATATGGTTTTTCAATGCACTTTCCTGATGAATTCTTAGGCACAGGTAAGTACTATTCCTAGGACAAGGCATTTGCCGGGGGGTTTATATATAATAAATCCCACCACTGTCAAACTCTGAAATGCCAGAGGCTCTACCGTCCAAGTTCTGCATTTTAACACGTGAATGATGGTGATGTAGCTTAGAGAAATAGGTCCAGCTGGTTCCAATCCTAAAAAATCAAGAGCTTATATACAGCCTGAGCTATGATCCAAGTGGCTCTTGAAAAACACAAGTAGGAATCTAAAAACTAACACAGGTACTTGATGGGGCCAGCAGGCCAGTAGTATTTTTACCTTTTATGTCATCTTAGGTCAGGCCAGGTCACCCTAAAGGATTAGTTCACCTTTTCATAAAAAAGTGAAAATGTGAACTCACACCCTACACCCTGTCAGTGCCCAGAAAGCCAATGTAGTGCTCCAGGGATCTGAATATCTGCTCTTCTGCTCTTTCTCACTGTAGGGCTTCCAGGACAGATCAGAGCCATTCTGATTGGTCATCTCTGGTATATGACTGCTTTGACCGATTGGAATCACTCTTAGTAGTCCCAGGAGCCCTACAAACAGAAGGGGAAGAAGTGAGGGGATTTTAAATCCAAAGACCACTGCTCTAGCTAGTTGGGCACTTACAGTTTATCAACCACAGAGGTAAGTACAGCAGGTGGAGAGGATTTGGGGTGTTAGTTCACCTTTTCACTTTCTCTGAAAAAGTGAACTTACACTTTAAAAAGCAAAAACAAAAGTCCACTGTCCACAGTAATTCTACTAGTAGATTTTTCCCCCAGTGACATCTTTGAATCTTCTCTTGTATACCATCTGTCTTGCCTGGAATAGAATTTAAGTTCACTGTCTTTTCAGAAGCCATAGCTCACTCTTTCTCCCACTTTTGGCTGAACCCTGAGTAAGGTTTTCCTGGACCCAGCCTGCAATTGGACATTGAAATGAGAAGCAGGAGCAGTGATGAATTCATCTCTCACTCTGCTTTTTCTTCCCATCAGCATGATTCTTGTCAGCACATGAACTAATGCCTCCTTGTGCTGCTTCTTCCTCTTAAACTCTAGCCCTGCTGTACAGGGACTGCAAAGGCTGATACCAGGTCAAATTCAAGAACTTGCACTGCTTGTATTTAAAAATATATCTAATAATACATTATGATTACAGAACTGCATAAAGGTGGTATTAAACCTTACGCCAATCAAAATCACCTGGTGTAATTCTTGTCTGCTCTCTCTTTCATCTGCTATCTGTATGAGTCACTTCTGACAGTTAATCTTGACACTAGGCAAACCATGGAGAAGACACCTCCACCCCCCCCCCCCCCCCTCCCAGCACACAACAGGTGAATAACAGCCTCAGCTGTGCGTGTTTCCCTATGAGACTGTACAAGGGGGGGCATTCCCTTCATTCAGGTCTCAGATTACACTTAGCCATCTTCTCTGAGCTATGCAGTGTGAGTCATAAAATCCCCGCCCCCTGCCTTCTGGAAACTAAGAAATAGCATTTCATGTGTGAACTTTGAACGGCTGTAGAGAAGAGATGTGTAAAGATAAAAAGGTACAACTTATTTAGAAGGTTTTGTTTCATCTTTGTGTTTTTTTCTTATTTTTGCCTCCAAATGTAGCCTAACTACTGGATGCAACATAGGCCTTTCTAGGGTTCTATTATATAGCTAGGTGACAGAAGTTGTGTATACTGATGACCTAACAGTGTCGCATTTTCCATGTAGTTTGCCTTGTGAAAGTACATTTATGTAATTTAATTTTCATTCTCACTTATTAAATAAAAAACAAATAAAAAAACTACTGTCAGTCTCCACTACTTGCTACTAAAGCTGCCACTGTTGTTCACAATTATATATTAAACACTTTTACGTCACCTTCCAATAAACTTAACAGGTTTAGCGAGAGAGTAGTTGTGGATGTAGATTGCAGAACTTTAGGCACCTGACGTCATTGAGGGAAATAACTGCCAAACTAGTTAAACCAGGTTTACTCAATGATATCCATGAGCATTAAAACCACAAATATCCCCCTAGCTACAAGCAGCCATAGTATGGTAAACATATTGTATGTATAAAATCCCAGTACAATCCCATGTCATTACCTTAAGTAACAGCTGGTATTTGGTTAGGCGTTGTATTGGCTTAAGTAGATATGAATCTAAAGCAAGTTTGTGCTCCAATTTTCTCTGACATTCCTGTAAAAGCAACATGCCAAGATTTGAACATTTTAATGGATTGAACAAGGATTTTTATATAGGTTTTTATAACATGGGTATAAAGATTTAAAATTTTTACATATGATGTGCTGACCTTGATCATTACCTGTAACCATGGACTTTTGCTCAAATCTCTGATGAATGGAGGTTACTGTAGGCCACATCACAGGTTAGCGCAAGTCTGAACATCAATGACAAAATGCTTACAGAGCCCGGATGTGGCCTGCAGTTACCTCTACTCATCATAGAAATGAACAGAGGTGTGCTGACAGATGCTACCAATGAATTTTCAGTCCTCTGATGTGTGAATTCCAGCAAACATGTCATGTGCTTTTCAGTAACCTTGGTTAATAACAGAGATGAGGGAAGGTGCAATTGCAGCCCCAAACTCAATACAGCTCAGCATTAAGATCTGAGATCTTCAGTCCTGTGTAAGAACACCCTAATCACATCTTCATGGCCATCATTCTGCAATGCATTTATCCCTTTATGAAAAGAATTTTTATGGTAAAATACCAATATAAGACATTGTTTTAACTGTTAGGGCTGGTTTATCATACCTAAACATAATAAAAAGAAATATGTAGAGTTGCTATATTATACAGTACATAACAACTGATCAAAAATACAAATACAGAAGATGTCGATGACCATTGTGTACACAGAAAACAGGATCTCCATATAAAAATGTCCATATCAACACATTTTAACATTCTATGATTCTACATTATTTTCTTACTTTTCACAACTACACACAGCATCTGTTTTGGATTTTTACCATCTGTCAACCAGGAAACATTCTGGTGAAAATATACTGTTATATTGTATGATGCCAGCAATATGTAAAACATGCAGAATCATGTAAAAGATGCAAGCTATTAATCTATTTAAACACTTTAGTAGGCATTACATATTTTTGCTTGCTGTATGTGTCAGGAATAATAAGATCTCAGGGAATTAATTGTTTAGGCTTGTCATCACAATTACAACTATTGCCTAAACTTTTTTTGCTTTATGTTGGAAGAAAAGAGGTTAATTATTTTTTTTATTGCTGTCTGTGCTCTGTTGGGGAGATTTCCCTTTACAACCTGTACAGAAAAGGAGATGCAATCTCTCCAAATTGAGAGGAGACACCTCAATTTTCAATGTAACAAGTGTCCCCAATTGTAGAATTCAGCGGGCTTCAAGTCCCAGTAACACTTTGGATTTCTCATCTTTCCAACCTGGGATCAGTATTTACTAAACCAAACCCAAACAGAGATGGGAAATCTTCCCAGAAGAGACACAGACAACAGTAAAAAACTGATTTACTGACTAACTTCCCTTCTCTATCCAAAACCTAACAGAACAAAAACATTTTGAATTCAGATACACCTTAAAGCTGAATTTTGGGGAAATGTAAAATCTACCCTTGCCATTTTGGCTCCCCCCACTACAAAAGATTAAATGCTATTTTGTCTAGGACAGTGGTCTCCAAACGTTCCCCAAGGGGCTGGATGCTGCCCTTTTTCAGCCCTTAGGGCACTATTCTTCCCACTGATATTAGACAATATTTCGCCCACTGACACCAACGATAGGGCACTATTCCTTCTAATACCCAAGATGGGACACTATTTTCCCCACTGACACCAACAATGTGGCAGCATTTCTCCCCCTAATACCAAAGATAGGACACAGTTCCCCTACTGATGCCAAGACAAATTCTACTCCAACTGGCCACAGTCTGCTCCCCCCAAAAGTCAGAAGGACAGTAAAATAGCCATTTTATTAGAACGTATGGAGACCCCTGCTTTAGAAGAACAATAAAAAGAAGTTTTCATTTCCTTATCCCTTGCTCCTGTTGACTCCTCCTTTCCATGCAGCCAGTCCCCTGAAGCAGCCTCTTTATGGCACTCTTTCTGTCAGTCATACACTGACATTATCATATACAAGACCAGCAGTCCTGCATTGTAAGTGATGACACCGAGGTTCTGCCTACAACCTGGAGCTTCAGAGAAAAGAAGAAAGCGCAGGCTGCCCAGGAAGCAAGGGATAAAGTAGGCTAGCAGCTTTTTCATGTTTCCCTAAGACCCCGGTCACACTGTATGAAAATTGGCATGCAATTTGCATGCCATGCGACTTGCAAATTACATGCCAAATTGCAGCCTATTATCCGCAATTAGAGCAGTCATATCGGTGCGGTTCTGACTTGGTCGGAGCCGCACCGATTTCTAAAGTAGTACATGCACTACTTTTGGTGCGATTTGCATAGACATCTGTATCAGATGTCTTGCAAATCGCACCTGAAATCGGTATGTCATCCGACATTGAAATTGAGCGACTTCACTGTAAGTTGCACGATTTCAAAGTAGGGTTTGATGTGACCGGGGTGTAAATAAGCATTTAGCTCTTGCTGTGCACAATGCTCTTCTGCAATAGTAGTGTTTACATTTCTCTGGAGTTCAACTTTACATGTAGTTCTAAATTAAATCCCCATCCTAACCACTGTTATCAATCTCAACATAAATAACTTAGAATGCCTGTCCTGTAAACAGGGACACTCAGCTTTACCCCTATATCAGTTTTATGTATCTGGATACATGACAGGCCTTCCCGGGAGTTCAACTGAGTGTTTGGTGTAGGACAGGTAGTAAATAGGAATTTTTAAAATCATTTTTACTGTAAAAAGGCAGGGTGGTCAGGATGGCAGATAATTAATTTATTGCAACTATGGATTTTAGCGCCACGTTTTCCCACAGAGTGCCTATGTAGCATATAAAAACAAGAAACACACTAGTACTTGCCTGTCATTTTCAAATGAATTTTGCGTGAATGTGACAAACGATGTTTGGCACTGACCATTATTCATGTGAATGCAGTACTTATATAAGAATTCATGACATCCATTACAAGGTTAGCGACCTCAAAATTATTTCATACTTAAAATAAAAGGAGGTTTTAGGAGATTTGAGCAGTGAATATTTTTGCATAAATTTCTAAACCTGGGCAGAAGATATTTCCCTAATTTGAAAATAAAAATATTATTGCAGGTTCTGTATCGTTTCCTTCATTTCATATAAAGGTATATGAATTCTTTTAAACAGCAACTGTCTATAGCTGATTAACTTAAATCTTTCCTGGGAAAAACATGCTGCCATTGCTAACTGCACATTCTCATTCATAGACCGTGTTCCAAATTATTATGCAAATGATATTTTTCTCATTTACCTAAATAATTGATGTAAATAACAGTCAGCATAATTCTCATGTTATCAACTATTAAGAGTACAATTCAAATTTTATCGAACAAACCTCCTAATGATAACAGTATTTTTTTTAAACTTAAAAAACTTGCAATGCACTGTTCCAAATTATTACGCACAGTAAGCTTCAAAACACTTTATAGGTTGTAAAGAACTGAATTGTCATTTGTTGTGTTTGCAGAATATGTACTGAAATCAAAAGCTATTTCAATCAAACTTTTAACATCATGTTAACCTTTTAAACATTTTAACAGGTCACGTTACATTTTAACATAGGACCCCTTATTTGATAGCAGCTTCACGAGTCTTGTATCCATTGAACTTGTGAGTTTTTGGACAGTTTCTTCTTGAATTTGTTTGCAAGATGTCAGAATAGCCTCCCAGAGCTGCTGTTTGGATGTAAACTGCCTCCCACCCTCATAGATCTTTTGCTTGAGGATGCTCCAAAGGTTCTCAATAGGATTGAGGTCAGGGCAGGATGGAGGCCACACCATGACTTTCTCTCCTTTTATCCCCATAACAGCCATTGATGCAGAGGTATTCTTTGCAGCATGAGATGGTGCATTGTCATGCATGAAGATGAGTTTATTACGGAAAGCATAGTTCTTCCTTCTGTACCAGGGAAGAAAGTGGTCAGTCATAAACTCCACATACTTGCATAGGTCATCTTTACATCTTTGGGGACCCTAAAGGGGCCGACCAGCTCTGTTCCCATGATTCCAGCCCAAAACATGACTCCACCACCACATTGCTAACGTCGCAGCCTTGTTGGAACAGGGTGGCCGTCCACCAACCATCCACTACTCTATCCATCTGGACCATCCAGGGTTGCACGGCACTCATCAGTGAACAGGACTGTTTGAAAATTAGTCTTCATGTATTTTTCTGCCCAATGCAGCCGTTTCTGCTTGTGAGCATTGGTTATTGGTGCCCGAATAGAAGGCTTATACACAGTTGCAAGACTCTGGAGGACTCTACACCTTGATGTCCGTGGGACTCCAGAGGCACCAGCAGCTTCAAATATCTGTTTGCTGCTATGTAATGGTATTTTAGCAGCTGCTCTCTTGATCCGATGCATGGATCTGGCAGAAATCTTCCTCAATGTGCCTTTATCTGCACCAACCCGTCTGTGCTCTGAGTCAGCCACAAATCTCTTAATAGTGCGATGATCACGCTTGCGTTTTCGTGAAATATCTAATGTTTTCATACCTCGTCCAAGGCATTGAACTATATCACTCTTTTTGGCAGCAGAGAGATCCTTTTTCTTTCCCATATTGCTTGAAAATGGTGCTCTGCTTAATAATGTGGAACGCCGTCCTTTAGTAGTTTTTCCTTAAATTGGGCTCACCTGCCAATCTAATTATCACAGGTGTCCGAGATTGTTTTCAGTGATCAAAAGAGCCCTGACACACAATGCCATCCATGAGTTAAACTGAAAAACAAAAAATTTCATCTTTGTGACACTTAAATAGAATTTGCATAATAATTTGGAACTTGGTGTAGATTCCTACCAGTTTTGCAGGCCTTCAAGTTTCAATACTTGATATTGCCATTAAAATGAGTATAACAATATTAATTTCTGACTTTTTTCTGACCCTTATCTGTATAATTTTTCCTGGTATGTTAACAGGACCCATATTTCTTTTAGGAAAGTTTTACCCGAAAATGTATGTATGGCCAAAATCTTTTTTGTGTGTGGAATGGTGAAAGTACTTTTCAGTTCTTTGCTTTATGTCTAGCACTGGGGAGATTTCCCTTCACTTCTTGTCCCCGAGGCAGAACAGAATGTCAGAGGAAATCCCAACAAAGTGAGGGGTATTCCCTTCTTAGATAGTTGTCACCAAAACAGATGTCCCCATTAGTTGATTTTCTCTCACCTCTTGTTTTGTTGACAACCATCACATTTTAGATTTGACCAGGTAACAATGGTCATCTAGACAAATAAAGTGGATGGATCTCAACTGCAAGCACACAAGAAACCTGACAAAGGTCATAATACTTTTCTACTCTATAATAAAAAAACTAAAAACAAATGAAGAATTTGAATGCAACATTTGACGCACCTGAAAGAAAGCACTGTCTGCAAACTGTCTCCAGAGAGAATCTGATCGAGGTTTATTCTGGCAGTACTTTTCATACATCTGAAAGTCTTCTCTCTATGTGTAGAAAGATGAAAAGTCAATCTGCCATAACTTGGCATTAGGTTCCCAGTTTTAACCCAGTGAAATTCAGATATTAGGTAATAGCAGTAAGAGTTGTGATATAATCTAAGCATAAGGTTCACATATGTTAATGCATAGTGCCTTGTAGATATACTGCATTTTTAAAAGGCTCCATGACTGAAATGGCATACTGCAGATAAATGCACCCAAAATGTAGTTTTCAAGGCCTCTTACAAAGAACTTTGACATACTTAACACGTTAGTGTATATAGACTGAAACAGGTAGATTTTCTCAGCTTGTACATTTTCCCTATGTTGGAAAATGCAGCTAAATGCAAGACATTAGATTTGGTCATGAGTCACTAGATGTTCTGGCAAATGCCAGCATTAGCAGATGGCTAATCCGGGACAACTACATACCTCATCATGGCCCCGAGAACTACAGGCAGTTCCTGCCCATCACACGGAATCCTAAAACTGCGACAATAAGATTCAGGAAAACTAGTCACCCCTTAGATATATGACCAATGCATTATAATGCCCAGGCAGCTGGCAAGTAACTCATGGCATTACCAAACTGCCCAATCCTAGCAGATCTCTGCAAGAATCTCAAATAGTTACAGTCATATTTATGGTTTGGTTACACAAAGTTACATCCAAATGACATAACTGTAAGAACTGATCGGCTGATGTATTTGCAGATGTATAATGGGTGCAGTTAAATTAGGTGCAGCAGCAATAGAAAACAGCTTATACTGCTCAGCTAAAATAATATTCAGCTTAAAGTGGGACTTCACACTCTCAATCAACATTGACTATTTTGATTCCTTATGCTGCTACGATTAATAAATAGATAGGAATGTAGATCATATTTACTTGCTTTAATTTTTTTTTTGCATTTCTTTAGTTACTTCCTGGTTTCCAGGCCTAGTCAAATGAAATCATACATCCCTTGAGTCTTCAGGAGGGGAGGAGGGACTTTCTCAGCTAAGAACACCCATATGACGTCCTCCCAGAACGCGCTCTCCTGCACGCCCCTGGGACACAGCTGATCACGTGATGTGGTAAAAGGCCAATCACATCGGCCTTTTACCACATGATCAGCCATGTCCAATGATACGCTGATCACAGGGAAATGCAATTGCCGGTTCTCGGCTGCACTTTCCTCACGCTGTCAGATCGTGAGGAAAGTACTGCCAAGAACCAGCAGTTGTTAGAGCAGGGATCGGCACCGATCATCAAGGCACTGATGATCAGTGCCCTGATTGGTACTCAGCAGTGCCACCCACCAGTTCCGCACACTTGTGCCCTGCAGTGCACCCACCTGTGCCCAGCAGTGCAGCCATCTGTACCCAGCAGTGCACCCACCTGTTCTCAGCAGTGCAACCACCTGTGCCACCCAGCAGTGCCACACACCTGTGCCCAGCAGTGCCATCCAGAAGTGCCACCCACCTGTGCCCACCAGTGCCACCCACCTGTGCCCACCAGTGCCACCCACCAGTGCAGCCCAGCAGTGCTGCCAGTCAGTGCCACCAGTCAGTGCCCAGCGGTTGTGCCAGTCAGTGCCCAGCAGTTGTGCTAATCAATGCCTAAATGTGTCGCCAGTCAGTGCCCAGCAGTGATGCCAGTCAGTGCCACCTATCAGTGCTGTCTATCAGTACCCATCATCAGTGCCACCTATCAGTGCCACCTATCCGTGCCATCTCATTAGTGCTGCCTATCAGTGCCACCTATCAGTGCTGTCTATCAGTGCTGCCTCATCAACACACATCAGTGAAGGAGAAAAATTATCTGTTTGCAAAATTTTATAATAGAAACAAAGAAACTTTTTTTTTTTTTTTTGCAATTGTTTTGTTTATAGCACAAAAAGTAAAACACCCAGCGACGAGTAAATACCACCAAAAGAAAGCTCTATTTGTGAGAAAAAAATTATAAAAATTTCATATGGGTACAATCTTGCATGACCGTGCAATTGTCAATCAAAATGCGACAGCGCTGAAAGCTGAAAATTGGCCTGGTAAAGAAGGGGGTATAAGTGCCCGGTAGGCAAGTGGTTAAAACGTACAGGGACGAATGTGACGCCAAGCTATATCAAAATGACAGCAAAGGCATCCAGTGCGTCCCTGCGTCCAAATTAGCCAACTACAGAAAAAGTGGCAACCGCCCCAACCTATAACCAACCTTAGCAGTAAGGTGCACATGGAAGGGCAATGCAAATCACAAACAAACAAAGGATTTTCCAGCAACACTTACCAGCCAGCCTGTGAAGCAACACATTTGGCTCTGTCTAACAGTTTGCATTAAACTGGCACACCTGCCCTTAACCTATCCATTTATACATGTGCTCCTACTATGGAGGCTTTGGAAATTTTAGTTAGGTCCAGAGTATACAGAGGACCCTTGATGTGGGACTGTGGCTTACGCATGTATTTGCAAATGTGTGCTAACAAAACCCTTTGTTTTTAACGCAAACAGTTACACAGGGCCAAATTGTTTGTTTGCGATGTGCATTGCCCTTCCATGTGCACCTTACTGCTATGGGCTGTTCATAGGTTGGGACGGTTGCCATTTTTTGTGCTCCCGTCTGTATGCCTGAGCTTAAGGCAGATGGATTCCAGGAAGTAATTGCTTTATGAATCATCTGCCCTTACTCAAGATGGCCACAGCCAGAAATGCTAGGGGTTTATTTCTAATTGATTTCTCAGCAAAGCAAAGAATGGAGTGATGGATGGATGGTCGAAATTGCTTTAAATATAAAAAATTAATTAAATAGCGCTTTTGGATTGTGGTGCTCTGATGCAGTGTAGATCCACTTTAAAGTTATCTGTTAACATCAGTAAATGGACAGACTATTCATCGGATGGGGAAAAGAAATGAGTAATGCATATCTTATTGATAATGATGAGACCACACGTTCAAAGTTGGATGCTTCTATTTTTTATGCAGCATTTCTCCATTACAACACCATGGATATTTGACACTAATATGCTTGTTATCATTCTGTATTACCCAGTTAGTGCTAGCAGTGTTCAAATCAGTCACATTTCTAGTGAAGATCACCAAGTGCCAGGCCTAACAGATCCAAATTATCATAGTTGAATGATTAGGAAACATGATAAAAGCAGATATGAAAAGGCCAAAATCAATTTGTGGGCACTGCACACATTTTGTAGCACTGAATATATTTCCAAAAATTAGATTTGATGATGAATCCGGAAAAGCCAATTTGCAGAAAATGGATATGTCTTTTTTCTGTGAATGCTGGTTCCTCATCGACTGCAGAAGCCAGCAACATAATTTCCTTATTTTTAGACACTTAAATGGATATATGTTGGCAAAGAGCTGGGTCATGATTTTCATAACTATTTAAACCTGTTAATATTTTAGTTAAGAAGATGCTTTCTAAGACTTCATATGTGCGAAGACTGACAGCAGTAAGTAATTAAAACAGGCACTTAAAGTAATTGTAAAGGCTCCTAGATTTTTTTCAAAGTAACAAGCGGGTTATACTTACCTGCTCTGTGCAATGGTACTGCACAGAGCAATCCTGAACCTCCTCTTTTGGAGTCCCCCACCAGCGCTTCTGTCTCCTCTTCTCTGAGTGCTCCTATAGCAAGCTGTGTGCTATAGAGGAACTTACGCAGGCTCAAACCAAGCCGCACTGTCTGTGTTTATAGACACACATAGTGTAGCTCAACCTTACCCCCCTAATTCCTCCTCATTGAATTTGACTGACAGCAGCAGAAGCCAATGGCTCCCATTGCTTCCTGTCAGTCCCTATGTGAAGAGGCAGAGAGGAGAAAAGATTGCAGTTGGGCACAGCTCTAGATCAATCCAGGACTGAGGAGAGTGTTTAGAGGAGGAGGGGGCACAGCATGTCCTAAATTTTTTTACCTTAATGCAAAAAATGCATTAAGATAAAAAAAAGTTCTACTTTTAGATCCACTTTAATCCTTGCTTGAGAAATTAACTGCAGCATCCCCACTTTCAGCAGTTTTCTTCAAACCCTCACCTGCTCTGTTGCAGTGGGATCGGTTAATCTCAGAAATGTGCTGGTTATCATTTTTATTCTCATGATGAATAAAAATTTACCTGAGTTCTCAGCCGTAAGTCTGTCATTCTCCTAACTCACCAAACCCAGTCATTTTGACCCTTGCCCAACTTCCCTAGCCTGGAATTCTCATTCTCTCTATTACAGCAGTGGTAGTCCTACAGAAGTCTCCATGACATAAGTTAAAAGCTAATATTTATCTATATTTTATTATATAGACCTTATCATGAGTGTGATTCATGGATGGGTCTGGCTACTCAGGTGCAGCAATATCCCACCACAGTCCCCAAAAGATATAAGAAATCATTAGGGTGTAAGCAATTCAATTCATAAGCTTTTTACCAAAACTAAAATAACCAGGCAACATAACACACAAGGTTTTGAGTCCAGAAACTACAATAGTAAAAAGTTTAGTTACCTACCCTTTCTAAAAAACAGAACCCCACTCTTTCTGGTGCTTCAATGCAGCTTTCGAGGCTCAGTAGAAATATTCTGTCCACAATTAAACACAAAACATTACATAGGGTTATTTACAGTATGGGCAAAATAATACTATATTTCTTTCTTGAAATGCTAGACTTTTTAGTATATTTATTATCTCACTTGTTGTGGAACTCATATATTTCTGGCATATTTCCAAACAGAATATTCTTTGTATTCCTCAAAGAAGGTGGCATTAGTCGGATCATTGCTGGATTTTCCATCTCAGATCTATACCCCTAGAAAAGGAAGACATTTAATTAAACTGCTGCTGTCTTAGTGGTTGGTGGTGGCCAGCTGTGCCGCCAGATGGACCCTATTGTTGTTTAGTTGAAGTGCTCCTATGGGATTTCTGTGGTAGTCTGGTTCTGTCCTTCATTCCCCAAGTGATAGGTTGGACCCCCTTGCATGCACTACTAGGTCTTTAACATGTGTTACTCAGGTCAGGGGTTGTTGACCATGTGAGATGTATACAATGTCCAATACGTTATCCTGAGGAAGAGCAAGTCTCAAAACACGTTGGGATTTTGGCAGGGAATTTTGGCTGCAATTACAGTATAGTCCTTCCTAATGGGGAGGGGGGCTTAACCATTGGTGTTACTATCCATATGGTTAATATGATTGGTCCTAAATTGTATATATTCAAACTTGATGGCCGGCTTTAAATGTATATTTTATTTATGTTATTCTTGGGCCTCATGTACACATGAACTCACCTAGTCGTTAAATTCTCTTGGCAGCAGAAAAATGCTAAACGTGGCAAAAACGCATTGAAACGCAGTGTCGCGTTTAGCGCTTGGATGTTTATTCATTTTATTGGCTAAAGTATTTTCCATTGATATGGATAAATGCCCAAGTGCTAAACGCGGCTAACGATTAGATGCGTTTACACTCGTTTTTGCTGCGTTCAGTGTTTTTTGGCCAAAACATTCCTCTTCTAAGCGGGATTATTCTGCATTTAGAAGAGGAACATTCAACTGCCCCTAAACTCTGCTGCTCCTAAACTCTAGAAAAAGCCTATGTGCATATGGACACATAGGCTTTTACTGAGTTGACTTCAGTGGCTTTGGCAAAAAAACACCAAAAGCTTCTAAACTCACGTTTAGGAGTAGCAGTGTACATGAGGCCTAATAAGGTTTTGTACTATGTTTTTTTATACAATTACATTGTTCATATTATACCCATTAAGGCCCCTTACAACCGCTTGACAATTTGTTGGTCTTCTGTACTGTGCAGTTCTGCTTAGGATCTGGTTACATTCTTTTACCTTTACTTCTACAAAAAAAAAATATATTTAATCTGACCTAATCACAATTCTATGTCTTTTTAGAGTGCTTTCAGTCTCATTGTAAACATGCTTACAGGAGGTGAGAGAGCAGAATTGACTTTAGCAGTCTGCTGCTGCTCCTTCATTGTCCAGCCGCAGGCTGGGGTGTATCATACACCAGCAATATCTTTTTACTGCACTTGGCATGCAGTACTATACAGAACTACCTGAATGTAGTTAAATCATCTTTGTTAGATAAAATGATTCACGTTGTAGGTAGTCCATGTGTGTATGTAGCTAGTTGCCTAGAGCTTTAAACTTATAAAGGGCACTTCATTGAGTTATGTGATTTATTTAGGGCTGGTATACTCAGACTTCTGTGTTTTGTGTCTGACATCGGTTTGTGAAGCATATTAACAAGCATATTAACAGATGTGGAACGTAGTGTCTGAGTTTCCAACTTATGGAGCACAGAACACGTCTTTTTTCCTTTTGCTATGCTTTGGTTTGCTTTTATTTTTCCTCATAGATCAGTGCACATGTATCTAAACACATCCCATGCTTATCTCAAACTCATCTCAGGCTGAGCCTAAACATAAGCCATTTTGCATGAATGACTTGCCTATGAGCCCGAAAATCCTTGCATATTATAACAGGGACTCTGAAAATGCCTGTTTATACCAGGAACTCTAGTATCATTGGCGTGTCCAGTCATTAAAATGCTGAATAAGGACCAGCAGTAAACTAATGTAAGAAGATAACTGGTCTGGAGATTTGAATATATTGTATTAAGACAGAGCCCACATAATAAATACTGTACACAGCTAGGGTCAGGTTCTACCCACTGTGCTGTTTTTCTCCAAGTTGGTTGCTAGGACTGCCAGTTTCCTAGCAACAGATGACTTGCTCACCCCAGCAGGACAAAACATATCTGCTCTGCCTCCAGGATCTTACCCTGTTGCTGTAATGATTCTGTGAGCAAGGTAAAGGCAAACCACCCATAGGGAATCAGATGTAAGAAGGGCTCTGATGGGGTTTCTGATGTAAAGAGAACTCCCAAGATAGACTCCTATAAAAGAAGGGCTCTAATAAAGACCCTGATGTAAGAGAGACTCTGATGGGGACCCTGATGTAAATGAGGAATCTGATGGAGGCCCTGATGTAAGGAGGGCATTGATGGCTACCCTGGTGTAAGGAGGGACTTGATGAAAGGGGGACTCTGATGTAAGGGGAGACTCAAAAGATGATGTAAGGGGGGCTTATAAGGCAGACTCTGATGTAAGGGGAGACTTGGCTTTTTTTACTGACTTTCTTTCTTTCTTTTATTTTGAATCATATCAGTCTTATTCCAAAAATTATCCAAGTAAAACATATTTATACATTTGTTATTCATAAAACAAATTTTTTTTCAGCCTGCAAAAATTAGTAACATATACAAAGTGCCCCTTGTACTTAAAATTTTGGAGACCCCTATATTAGGAGCATATATGTTTAAAAAGAAAACTTAAACGTGTACTTAGAAAACATGTAGGCAGCTATTGTTATCAATGTATTGAAAATGCCAGTTCATTGGATGCCTTGCTTTTCCAAAGGTTTCAGTACTTTCTCATTCACTGACTTGAAGGAAGTATGTAGATCTGACTTTTCATTGACATTGTTGCTACATGCTTATTCCTGGTCAGAGACGTGGAAAGTATTGTAAAGGAAGCCTGGCAATCAGAAACAAATTGTACTCAAGTGTCTTACACACCAGTAAAATAGTGTAAAGTTCTTCCACATAGATCCGTTCAGTCTCTATGAGCTCATGGATAACATGCCTGAAACAAAATAGAAAAATACTTTTTAAATAAATGTAAAGTGGGACTCCAGACCAAACCCCTTGTTTTTAGGTTGGAATAGGAAAAGGAAGCCTTGGAACCTCAGATGTCTGCTGCCCCCACTGACACAACAGGAGAGAAAAGAAACCTTTGTGGGGACATCTTCTCAAAAGGGGCACAGTCAGCAATGCACCCCTGAGATAGCCTTCCATAATCAATCCAAAGCAAATTACTGTAAATAATGATTTCTTTGAAGCACCTGTGGTCTTTACTGATATATCTTTTACCCACAGATAGCTTTATTGGTGCATATTTCTTTTTTATATTTGGATGATAAATATATATTTGACAGTAGCAATAAGATCACTATACTTAAGATGAGGTCAGGATCAGACAGGTGTTGAAAGTGCCCTTTTAAGTTTTTTTTTTATTTAATAAATTGTTCTTTTAAAAGGACAATACAAAAATAACACCAGCCACTTTGAGCAAACGTTAAAAGACTATCGCTATCTTACACTACAGCACCTCTTCTCCAATTACCCCTGTATCCACAGATTGTAGCGACTGGATCCATCAACCTATTATAAACCTAACAGCTGTATCTTCTTAGAATGACCAAAGCAAAGATGTAGCTGAAGTTATCTTGTCTATATAAGCACAAATGAAAATGACAGAAAATAATACAAATTATCAGCACAAATAGGAACAATGGTCTTACCCTTTAAGTATGTCTAAACTGTCTTCACTTTCTGATATAAAAAATTGTAAGGAATTTCTTTTTTCTTGATAGTCATGCATCACCTCAATCTGAAATTTAAATAGTTCACATAATTAACTATAAAGTACATGAGCTATAACACAGAGAGTTATTTATTAAAACTGTATGGAGCAAAATCTGCTGCAGCTCTGCATAGAAAAAGCTTAATTGAACAAGCTGATGTTAGAAGTTGATTGGCTATCATGCACAGCTGCACCAGATTAGGAGTGTACCAGTTTTAGTAAATCTCTCCCAGAGTGTGTAAAAGAACAGCAGACTGTGTTGCAAAAAGCAGACATTTGACAACTCTCTTTTGTTTCACTTAGCAAAATATCTGTGAAGATTCTCATTCAGTACATGGTATAGCTAGTAGTAGTTAGTCACATTTCACAGGACTTGTTTTGTAATATTAAAGACATTTCACTGCTCACCAAGCCAGCTTCTAAACATTTAAGCAACTGAAGAAGCTGCTTAGATGATCAGTGAAAAACGTCTTCAGCATTTTAAAACAGTCGTGCTGAATGTGACTACTATATACAAATGGGCAACATAGTTTTTTCAGACACTTTTCAAGAAGGAGGGTAAGCAATACCACTGAGGTACATATTGGTATTTAGAAGACTTTGTGGTCAGTAGTTAGAAGAGTATGTTATACACTTTCGAAACATAATTTTAGGCTCCTCCCTTGACTCTGGGAGGTTCTCAGGATTCTAAACTTCTTACTAACCAGCTGGATTCAATGGGCCTAATTTACATAACAATCTAAAGCTTGACTATCTTCAATTGTTTTGCCTTTGCCCTCCTGGCAGTTTACTAGATTAACTCCCACAGTTCACTTTACTGTGAGTACAATGGGTTGCTCCAAATTGCTTTTTAGGGTTAGGTCCAGCTAGGCTTTTTGGATGGCTGGGCCACCAGACCCATGCCTTTGAACTGTATCCCTAGGTCTAGTTCTGGGTTGTGTCTCAGAAGCCCCATACTGCCTGTGGTAGTTTTTTTTGCATTTTTCATGCTGATCTGTGCTATTTATAGTCTTCTCCTTGACCAAAGGAAAGAAAAGGGTATGTTATACACTTTCAAAACATTACTTCAAACTCCTCCCTTGACTCTGGGAGGTACTCAGGATTCTAAACTTCTTACTAACCAGCCGGTTAGTATTTCTCAGATTCACTGGGCCTGATTTACATAACAATCTAAAGCCTGACTATCTTCAATTGTTCTGCATTTTTCCTCCTCTCAGTTTACTACATTAACTTCCACAGCTCACCCTACTGTGAGAACAATGGATTGCTCCAAAATGCTTCTGAGGGTTAGGTCCAGCCAGGCTTTTTGGATGACTGGGCCACCAGACCCATGCCTATGCACTGTGTCCCTAGGTCTAGCTCTGGGTTGTGTCTCAGAAGCCCCATATTGCCTGTGGTAGTTTTTGGCAATTTTCATAGTGATCTGTGCTATTTATAGTCTTCTCTTCTACCATGAGATCTAAACATCAAGGAAAGCCTTTTGATATGCAAAAAGCACCAGCCAATGCAGAAGCCTTTCCTTCAGCACAACAGTGGTTTTCTATGCTTAGATTTTGGTAGGGAAATTTTATCTTTTTTAGTGGCAGTAGTTCAGACAACCAATAAATATGGTCCTTTATAGATTATTTAGCTTTAGAGATTAATTTAGGGGTTAGATTAGCCTTAGGGTTTGGGGTTAAGGTTAGCAATTGGGCAAAAGTCTAGTATTTTTACATATTAAATTATACGTCAAAGCCCCACTTCAGGCTGTTGTTAAATCTACCCATGCAATTGGGTTCCCGTTCGCTGCAAGGGTTAAATGTATAATTGGCTAGGGTGGATATAAATAGATAAAAATACTTAGCCTTTACCTTGCTGCAGCAGACTTCCTCCACTCCATGTTATCAGTTCCCAAGTACAATGCAGGACCAGGTCTACACTGCATGGGTAGATTTAACAGCAGCGTGGAATTGTGCTTTGAGGTTTAGGGTTAATTCATAGAATTAAATGTGAGAGATAGATTAAAGATTAAGTAGTTAGTCCAGGTTTTGTAGTAATTTTATATGTTAGGTTTAGTATTAAGTAAAATGTTAAGATTCGGGTTCAGAGTTAATTTTAAGGGTAGTTAAAATGTTAGGATGTAAGTAATGTTTACCATCAGGTTATAACAGGGTAATGTTGTAAAAGTATTAGAATTCACAAACTGTCCTATGCTAAGAACAGTGGTGTCTGGCTTTATTAAGGACCAGGTCTAGGCAAATCCAATAGTGAAACCTACAGCAAAAGTTTATCTCCAAGCTTGCTATTCCCCTAGAAAAGTACAACTGTTGTGCATATTCAGACCTCATTCATTATTTGCACCACTTATTTCTAGTTGGCTGCTGTGAGCTCCACTTTCTCACCAGTTTTCATAAATAAGCTAAAGTGTTTTTCATATGTTTTCTTAAATACCACTAACACTGTTTGTGTTGCACTTTTACACTACTCTTGGCTCCTCACAAAAGGTTTAGGAAACACAAATGATTTTAACCAGAGTGAGTCCTATTGAAAGGTGTGTAAGCAATTAAGTCACTTTTAATGTCCACAGTACCACTTTAATAAATGTAAGTAGTAACAATACGTATAACTTATTTTCGTAATTGAAGCTCCTTAATATTACTGGACAAAATATATAAAATGAACCAATGTTAATTGGGAATGTGACTTTATGATCCATTTCAGGTTTCAGTTTGTTGTAGGATATGCTGATTTAATTGTAAATAATCATAGGTAAATATGGAAAATTATTACAAACTTATTTGTCTCACAAAAACAAAAATCTTCTATTTTTTACTGTTACAAAAACACCTATATGTCTGGTAACATCTATAAGTTAAAATGCTCTTTGGATGATACAAGGGAAAACTGCTGCAATGCAGCAACTACTAGAGACCAATCACCTGCTTTAACTCCAGAGTGTCCACACGCTCTACACTCACTAGCCTACTGAGTCTTAGCTGAAAAACCGACGTGCTGAATTTCAGAGATAGACCATATTTTGAAGATAAGCCTCACAGTTTTTTGTAATTTTTAATGTATTTTAAGGTTGTATTCAGTGTTGATTACCTTTTTCCTATTACTGTTATGTATAAGGATAAATTCTATACTGTTATTTCAGATTTGTGTAGTTACTGGAAACTATAGTTATATGCTGTCTTCTAAAATCTCTCAGGACCTGCAGTGGCAAAATGTCCCAAACAAAATTCCTTAGAGTGGTCATTACAAAGCCACATTATGGCATCACTTGGCAATGATGGATCCTCCATCTATGATTGTAGTATAACATAATAATTTAAAGGAGAATGTAGGAGAATTACATCTTGTTTCTGGCTTCAAGGATGCAGGGAAGACAAACTACGGTACTATGAGATAATCTAAAGCTGGCCATACATGGTACGAAATTTGGCCGTTCAGCAGAGAACGGCCGAGATTCAATCCATGTATGGGCATGCTGATTGTACCCAGGTAAATTCATCAATCGAATTGGGTACAATCAGCCCATCATATTTTTTTACATACCATTACTTCTAGCAGCTATAGCTGCTAGAAGTATTCATTGTGTTCTGAAGGCTGGGAAGGCTCCCTGTGTCCCCCTCCCCTCTGGCAGAACACAATAGCGCTGTGGGAGACATTCCCTCATCAACACTGAATATGTTGTTGGTGGAATTGCTTTCTTTCCACTTGTAATGGAAGGTAAGGAAAATAAAATCATCCATTGGCTGCCTAACCAATAGTCTCTGAATGAACGACTTCAACCAACACTTGCCTAGATTTAAAGTATAACTAAAGCCAAAATTTTTTGGGGTATTTTTTATATATTTTTTTTTAGCTGTCTGCAACTCAGCTGAGGAGATCACTCTTTACTTTTTCTTCTGTAGAAAAAAAAAACAGAACTTCTAAGAAATCTATCCACGGTGAGAATGTCCCCTCTTAGATAGTTGTCACCACCACAACAGGTTTTCCAATTGGAGGACTTCCCCTTAAATCCTATTCTAGTGATGACTTAAATTTTGGTTTCACTATCAATTTCATTTGCAGTGATAATGGTCACTGGGGAAAATAGAGAGGGCAAATTCTCACAGTGGGGACACAGACAGCAATAAAAATTGCTGAGTAAAACTGTGAAGTTGATTTACTAAACTGGAGAGTACAAAATCTGTTGCAGCTGTGTATGATAGCTGATCAGCTACTAACTTCAGCGAGTTTAATTAAGCTTTGACAATAAAACCTGGAAGCTGATTGGTTTCTATGCAGAATTACACCAGATTTTGCACTTTCCAGTTTTAGTAACTCAACCCCTATGTGTTTACTGAAGTGTTTTTAAAACAGGTGTATACATGGTGCTCCAAAGCCAGCCAAAAGAACATGGGGGATGCTCTGCCAAACCATCAGATTACATCATTTTAAGGGTACCACATTTTCCACACATGACAAATGTAACACATATGAGAGAAAGCTAAATTGCAAATAAATTTTCACATAATAGTGGCAGATCTCCCTAGGTTGCTATATTCTTAATTTCTTTTAGCACCTACAGAAGATCATCAATCTCTGCTTATGGATGTTATGATGGCTATTTAGGTAAAAAATGGCAGTATTAAGAAATAAAGGTATGATCAGTTATTCCCAGTACACAAAATCTTACAAACACTTTGATGTACAGTTTTAATAAGAACAAACAAGTATGCTTTGAAGAGAAGTACTTTGGTATTTATAGATAGCTGTACTTGGAGAGGCACAAGGGAAAATTTCAGACTTAGGAGAACACTAGAATGAATGTGCAACTTAATCCAGCAGGCACCTCTGAAGCAGATTATGTTTAATTTGATTTTGATTATTAGCTGGACTAAATATGCAAACTAGTAGATAATATGATTACTTATTTAGCAAGGATTAGTTGGCACAGGTTTGTTCAGCTGGACCAGATTATTATCTTTGTTATTAGACTGATCAACAAAAGTATAAAAGTAGTGGGGGGTCATGTTCTCCAGAACCTTTACTACTAAACTGCAGTTACATACTGTATATGTATGGTTGACTACTGGTATCCCTCATTTCCTCATCTCTCAGCTATACTAGATAGTAAATGGTACTTCCATCTAGTGATGAGCAGTGTAGTGATCCTCCATAATACCACAGAGTGCCTGACACTCACTACACCTCTCATTTGCAGTGAGGCTGTGCTCAGCCTTTGGTGCAGATAGAATGGCAGCAATATAGCTACCCACTTGCATGCTCTAGTCCAGGGGTGGCTAACCTGTGGCTCTCCAGCTGTTGTGGAACTACATTTCCCATGAGGCATTGCAAAGATGGAAAGTTACTGACTTGCAGAGGCATGATGGAACTTGTAGTCCTGCAGCAGCTGGAGAGCTGCAGGTTGGCCACCCCTGCTCTAGTCAATAGAGGGCTGTAGGAGGTAGCCTGGGCCCTGATACAATTGCCACACTTAAGATGGTGGAAGTTGTACTCATCTAAAAGCATCAATATGCACAGGATAGTTACTGACCAGGGGCGGACTGACCATTTGGAAACTCGGGCACTGCCCGAGGGCCCGGGGTCAGTAGGGGGCCCCATAAGATGCCCTGGTACCTTTTTCATAGGCTTTTTTGAGTTTGGGCAAGGACACAGGGGCCCCATGATCCCCTATTGCCCGGGGGCCCCATGAGTTGTCAGTCCGCCCCTGTTACTGACTAGGCAGTAACTTAGGCTGTTTAAACGTTTTCAACTCCGCCAAGGAAAAGACTATTAGTTGGATCAGCACGCTTTGGTTAATACTCACGTTTTGAAACAAAATCAGAAATTTCCCTACCACAAAAAAAATCACTTGCTGGTAAAATTTGGTTATAGCAGATTATGGTCTTTTACCCAGTCTATTAAATAAACTGCAAGCATGTCTGTCAGTATGGTTAATTAAATATCCATTTTCTGTGGTGCAAATGGAAGACAAGCATGCTTTCATGACAATTGTTACCTTACGAGAAGTTTGCATTTTCCGTGTGGTCCGTTTCCCTGGCAACGTTATGTCAAATGAGAACTTGAGACTTGAATTGAAATCCATACCTTTATTTCAAGATCAAAAAACAATATGACAATATAACTTTTGCATAGAAGCTAAAGTAACACAGCCATAAATAGCATAGAGCAATCAGCGTAAATACCATGGAAGTGGTAGAATAACTTCTTCCTGTTCTGACAAAAAAGTGAAAACTATGTTGATAAGATTAATGACCTTGGACTGTAGTAAGTCCCCTTTATGTCACCAAGCATATGTTTTACGAAAGATGTTACATTCCACCAATATGTCCACAATATTTTTTGGACCAGGAAACATTAGGAAAACAAGTTAAACAAATGTACTTTAGGTGCCTTTCTATATATGTAAAATAGACAATAGTGTTTCTGAATATATGGTTATCGATGTGGCATAAACAAATTTATATGGCTCTTCCCACTATTCCAAAACTGACTTCCATCCTTTCTTTGTCAACAGCTATTATGTAGCCAAACATATAATGCAGATGCAAGCAACTATTTTATTTTGCCTACTTAAGACTGCATTATGTTATTTGCTTGGAGTATTCCTTTAATAAAGTTTACTATGATAACGGGTCCAAGATGACAGTAGATGATTAGCATTTAGGCTCTTATTTTAGTCCTGACAAAGTCACAACAGTTGCATGTTAATTGGCACAAAACATTAAACAGATACAATTCTGACAATTTATATACAGACATATTACATAAACCAATTACCATGCTTTGGGGAGAACAGGGGAGACTTTGATCTGGGGGGATTCTCAGGTCGAGGAGCCACTAACTGCACTGGACGTACTTGCTTGTCAGCCAACTTCTTTAGGCTGGCCTGCCGGTTTTCAAACAAATCTCGCATGTTTTCCATCTTCATGTGAACAGCCTCAATCTGAGCCTATTGAGTCAAAATCAAATGAATCTTTATAAAGCAACTATAATAAGAGTAATACGTGCAATTCTCTGTCTAATATGAATTGTGGAATTACTGTCTTGCTCTAATAATAGCTATGCATACCTTTATGTATAGTAAAGACTATGTCAAGTGAGCAAAAGGGACTGAGGATAAAGTGGTATCATCCCTCTTAGTGGTTTCTGCTAAACTACTCGAATCACTGCTACTCTCACATCTCTATGTCACAATGGCTAAATATTCTGTAAAAAAAAAAAGAACTAGGAGGGCCAAAAAGCATCTCTGAGATAACATAGGCCACAGGGCAGCTCTGAATTTCTGATAAGATCAACAGGCTGTGTTTGAACTATTCAAACTGCATTGTACATGTAATTTGATTTTAGTTGTACATTTAATGGAACAAAAGTTAATAAATAAGAGAAGTTCATTGTTAGGGATTACATACTGTATACTTTAATGCATGGGCTTTTTGATATTTTATAAAAGGTGACTGTACCGAGAGACACAGGGCTGTCACTGATAACCTATCCTTCTAGAAATGCCAGTTAACTGATTGTCAATGTTGATCAAATGGCATTTGTTCTTTCTCAGGCATTAACCAAGCATGTAGATTAGGAGTTCTGAATTAATCTATTTAATTTTTGTTCCAGCTCAGTGGGTCAACAAATATATATGCGAGAGACAATCAAGTCACAAGCATTTTTCGGAAGTAGGTCAGCAAGCAGCTCTTGTCATTCTCACAGTACAGGTTTACTTTAAGGACCCATTTAAATGTCTTTTTGTTAAACAAATGTTACCCTTGTGAAAAAATTTAGTAATGTTACAACCTGGAATTAAAGTAGATTGAATTGGAATTGTATGTCACAATACAGTAGTCCACCATACTGAACAGGAAAATGAATCAGCAATATTTTGCAAGCTTTAAAAAAAAAACTTTTAAAATAAAAACTAAAAATTCAATACTGCTCGAATATTAATCTGCTAAATAAGAAAATAATTTGCATAGTAAGATGAAATGAGTGCAATGAAATTGATCCTGCCATTAAATCTATGTGATAAAAAAACATTCATGGAATAACTGGGCACTTTATAGATTTTGATCTTGGTCTTAGTGCGCAATTAGAATAAAGCCTTTGCAAAAAAAAACTCTTTGAAGTTTTTAACCGCCTCCCACCTGCCATATAAGGAAAAGCTCTCTTGTTCTGGGAGGACATCATATGACGTCTTCTCACTCTAGCTGTGCATGCTTGCCCCAGGAGCGCATGGTGCGGCGATCAGTGGTGCGCTGTGTCCCTGGGACACAGCGGATCACCGATCACAGTAAAGAGCCGATGACGTAGGCTCTATCATGTGATCAGCTGTGTCCAATCACAGCTGATCACATTTAAACAGGAAATGCCAGTTATCGGCAGTCCTCTCCTCACGCTGACAGCGCATGAGGAGAGGAGATCCGGTAAGTGGCATTCCTCAGAGGGGACATCCACACTGATCATCAGGGCACTGATCAACAGTGCCCTGATGATCAGTGTAGCCCCATCAGTGCCACCTATCAGTGCCCCTAATTGCCACCTGTCAGTGCCCATCACTGCCACATACCAGAGTCCATCAATCTCACATATCAGTGCACATCAATGCCACATATCAGTGCCTTTCAGTGCTGCTTATCAGTGCCAGTCAGTGTTGCCTATCAGTGTCAGTCAGTGCTGCCTATCAGTGCCAGTCAGTGCCACCTAACAGTTCCAATTATTGCCACTTATCAGTGTCCATAAGTGCCCCTATCAGTGCCATATATAAGTGCTACCTTTCAGTGCCCACCAGTGATGCCTGCCAATGCCCACCAGTGATGCCTGTCAATGCCCATCAGTGCCTCCTTATCAGTGCAGTCTATCAGTGCCCATCAGTGCTGCCTATCAGTGCCCATTACTGCAGCCTCATTAGTGCACATCAGTGAAGGAGAAAAATAACTTATTTACAAAATGTTATAACAGAAACTAAGAAAAAACTTTTTTTTTCAACATTTTCAGTCTTATTTAGTTTGTTTAGCAAAAGAATAAAAAAAAAAACCCAGTGGTGATTAAATACCACCAAAAGAAAGCTATATCTGTCTCAAAAAATGATAAAAATGTTGTTTGGGTACAGTGTTTCATGACCGCGTAATTGTCAGTCAAAATGTGACAGCACTGAAAGCTGAAAATCACCCTTGGGCAGAAAGGGGATAAAAGTGCACAGTAGGCAAGTGGTTAAACAACCACATGGAAGAGAAAATAAACATGCAGTAAAAATGTTCTGGTCTGATAAGACAAAAACAGAACTTAATTGTACAAACCATGAGTGAACAATGATGGTGATAGCATTATATTGTGTAAATACTTTTCATTGACAGGGACTGGTGAAGATGGATGGGTCAAAACACAGAGCAGTTCTACAGGATAACCAGTTTAAGTCTGCAAAGGACTTAGGAGAAAAGGGAGAGATATTCTATTATCTGAAGCATACAGCCAAAGCTATACCAGAGTGGCTTACGACCATAAAATCAATGGTCCAGTCAAACCCTCAATCTTAGGAAGCATTCACACTTGCGGTACAGAAAATTACAGAAAATTACCTTTAGCTGTAATATTAACATAACAAAAAACACACCTAAATCTTCACCACTACGTCTTGAAAACAGCTGTACTTGTGAGTTTGTTTTAACGCTGAAATCATCATATTTTCAGTTTTGGAAAATGACAAAAATGTCCATTCCTCTATAAAAAAATTCCAGAAGGTATATAAAAAACTTCCCAAAATAACAGCCCTCCATATGGAAGGGCACACGATAGACAAGAATTTCAAGATATACCCAGTAATTAAGTACTCATAAGTATACGTGTTTTTGCCAGATGTTGTAAATAATGTTGAATTCAGGATTCTGAAAAATAGGTCACAAATCAAGCAGGATCTCAAGAGTCTTCATTAAAAAATGTACAGCTGCAATTTCTGCCTTTCTTGTAGAGTGCTGCCATAAAAGGCTTTTCAACTAATAAACAGTGTTTAATTCTGATGTATTCATTCATTTTTCCACTGCCACTGTTAGCACCATTGTGCTGTACTGCTTCCATGGCACGCAGAATAGTTTCTCTCCAATGACTTCAATCTGCCAACTAGCATACATAGCAGGCTACTTTGAGACTTATAAAACAGTAATGGAAGGTTTTATTTAAGTATATAGTACATCTAGGCAAAATTAAAAAGAAATAAACATATGCAGTACATCTCTTCACGTGCATATACTTTCCACATATTTTATCCCTTTAAATGTGCTGCAAGTACAGAAAAAACTATCCTATTATCCTGCTGGGAATCCAATATGCTCCTAACTACTTGGTGCAAGCTGACATCATTGCTAATGCAAAAAATCCCAAGCAGTGTTTTGTCAGTCCTAAGATTCCCTCTGCTGGACTTTGGAACTTTACCTATCCTTGTAGGAACAAGGTAAAATAAAATATAATGCTGAGCATGATCCAGCAGGAAAATGGAGATTTGTGGGTAAATTTGAATCATGCCTATATATATCCTTTACACATTTGTCATATGCAGTCCAGGAAATATCCAATCTGAAAATGGAAGAATACTTTGTAATGTTTACAATGTTTGCATATTAGTAAATACAGCAGTAAATAACTGTGTAGTAGGTGGTGCCAGCATAAATATGCCCTATCAAGCTCCAGTACAGTTAATGGATTGTACTGTCTGCTACACCAATGAATAAGCCACTTGTCTTGGTCAGAAACGTCTGCATGTAGCTCCTGTATGAAGGGAAGCACCCTATGGCCATGAAAAGCAACAATGTACTTAGGTCCAGAGATTGTCAATGGCTTCTCAATATTCAATTATTATATATTAATGTAATCCTAGATTGTAAGCTCCAAGGAGCAGGGCCCTCCTATCCCTCTTGTATTGAACTGTATTGTTGCTGTATTGTCTCCCTTTATACAGTAAAGCGCTGAGCAAACTATTGGCGCTATATAAATCCTGTATAATAATAATAATAAAACCCTCAATCTGTCTCATTGAGGTGAAGCATAGAGTAATGCAATTTATGATCCACAACAAAATAGAGGCCAGGCTGCTGGACCGGATTTCGGAACACCTGAAAATCTGGTAACTGTGGGTGCACAACTACTTGCCGGAGGACTTTGATCTGTTCTTACTGGAACCTTGGTCAAGACCCATGCACATACCAAGAGGCTCTCTTCACCAACAACTGGCTTGCTGCAGCTACCATTGGACCTCCTGATTCCCCTCTTTCTTTCTTTGCTTTTCTATCCTACAGAATGTCCTTTAGAACTGCCTAAGTTCAATAGATTGTCTTGCACTCCTAATACTCTTAAGTGTGATTATTCCCGCAAGTTGGGGTTGTCTACACGTATTGCGTGTGTTTGTATTCCGATGTTCAGCTCTACCTTACACAGCATTTTAATGCTATTTTTGTCCATGAACCCCTTTTTTGCAATCTTTATTGTTGCACTTTTGTATGGCACTACCACTTGAATGGCAAACTTTACTGCTGAGTTGTTTAAATTCAATAAAAAAAACTGAAAAGGTAATAATGTTATCACTGCTAAACAACCTAAGTCCAACCAAATCTTCAAAACAAATGTACTGTATATTATTTTGAATTGTAGTAAAAGGGTTAACTAACAAACCATCTACTATTTTGGGAATAAGGCCTAGTTCCTGGTTAAGTGTACCGCCAACCCCATTATATTGGCTTTGGTTTCTGTATTTCCAAGATTCAATTTGAAATATAGAAAGTTAAGGGAGTGGAATGGGATACTTTGTCAAAAACCGCATTGTTGGTAAGGATTTCTCTCCATTTTAGGCCCTGAGAACAATAAGAAACTGGTGATCGAATCAATCCAGCCCTGCCTACTCTGAACCGAAGCCTCACCCTTGAGTGGATGGATTTAGCCTTTAATGTGTAATTGCAATATAATGTATATACTGTAAGTATAGAATAAAAGTAAAGCGAGCGCTCAAAAATCAGCTGCTGAAACACTCCAAGGAATCACTGGACCTCATAACAAGAATATTAGATATATAGTGCAGCGCTGTAATGTAATTAAATAAATAAAAAATATTAAAAGTGAAATAGTTCGTAAAGTCCTTTCACAATAAAATAATCAAACATGTGAAGGCCTCCTCCTAATTAGGTGACTGGAATCAAACTTAAAAAATGCGCACTCACCGACCGCGCATTTTAAATGCACATGTGTGTAATTTTATCCAGATGACCAGTCAGGCATGCAGATCCAGAGAACACATAGATCATCCCTCTTAAACACTGACATCAGCCTTGGGTGTAGTAATATACCTCCAGGTCCAGAGAGCCCTCTTGCCCCAAATGATAGGTAGACAGGGGTTCCCCTCCTGGTTCCAGGTACCCCAGAAATGGTAGATGTAGATCTGAAACCCTCCAGCAAGAGGGTCAAAGAAAAAAGGGAACGCCAATAGTGTAGTAGGTTCAAAACTTTATTGGATCAACAGTAGTTAAGCCAGGGTCACATGTGCATACAAATACCATCGGCCATCAAGCGGATTGGTAAGTGTGAAAAATAAGTAAAACATGTACTCAGAGTAGTGGCGTCCACCCTCTGATGAAGTGCCGTAGCACGAAAGGCCTCAGGAGGAGCCAGTAGCAAGTGTGTCTTCCTGACCACTGAGACCACGAGGAGGTCCAGTGGTCTCTGTTTCTTACCTCTGCCGGGTTAGTACATGTTTTACTTATTTTTCACACTTACCAGTCCGCTTGATGGCCGATGGTATTTGTATGCACATGTGACCCTGGCTTAACTACTGTTGATCCAATAAAGTTTTGAACCTACTACACTATTGGCGTTCCCTTTTTTCTTTGACCCTCTTGCTGGAGGGTTTTCAGATCTACATCTACCATTTCTGGGGTACCTGGAACCAGGAGGGGAACCCCTGTCTACCTATCATTTGGGGCAAGAGGGCTCTCTGGACCTGGAGGTATATTACTACACCCAAGGCTGATGTCAGTGTTTAAGAGGGATGATCTATGTGTTCTCTGGATCTGCATGCCTGGCTGGTCATCTGGATAAAATTACACACATGCGCATTTAAAATGCGCGGTCGGTGAGTGCGCATTTTTTACGTTTGATTCCAGTCACCTAATGAGGAGGAGGCCTTCACATGTTTGATTATTTTATTGTGAAAGGACTTTACTATTTCACTTTTAATATTTTTTATTTATTTAATTACATTACACCGCTGCACTATATATCTAATATATACTGTAAGTGCACAGTATGGGAATAGGGATACATATCATTTCTTTTTTTTGAGAGTAGTGCTCCATGATTTTTCATAAATCTTTTATTTGCAAAGCACATTTTCCTGAACAATTCAAAAAATAAACCTTGTGCCTAATGAAGAACTTTATATTTAAGAGGTCAACCTAAAACTGACTAAATCACCCACCAGAATATAATATTTCTCTCTATTCTGACAAGGATGTCTCTGCACCAAAATTCCTCTATCTGTCCACATTCTGCAGCCATTATAAATAGTGAAGGGGAAGTATTCTCTCTGCTAGAATTAGACCCCTTTCACACGGCGGGTCCAATCTGGTCTGCCTGTTTTTCAGGTGGGCCTGATCACATGGTCCATTCAGCCCTATGGAAAGTATGAAAAAACATTGCAATTTACCTTTAGTTCATCCGTTAGAATGGCCTCATAGTTATGCTTCAGGCTTTGTGGGTCAAAACCGAGTGTGCAGCTTTCCAGAAACGTATCTACATCTTGTAAAGCTTTCTGTGCACCTTCTCTAGACTGGCACTTGTCCATTTGCTGGTTAGCTAGAAAGTACGCCCCTTGGTCACAGCATTCTAGAGCCTGTCAAACATATTTATACAATTATTTTATAACATTTCAGTCAATAATGACAGTAAGTCTCAGTTTTATATACACAGAATCCATGTACAGCATATAGGATGTGTATGTAGAATAAAAATAAAATGCAAACACTTTCTGCTGATTGGCAGCCAGATTATTTTTAAAGAGCTGTGCTTTGGAAATTTTTTAATTAAAATTCAATTGGTTGGACACAGACACAGGCAGCATTAAAATCACATTCCTTGGAATTCATAAAGACTGGCATGTACAGATTTTGCAAGAGTGTCTTTTTTGCATTCGAAAAGTGGTGCAGTGTGTGCCAAATTCCTGTACCTAAATACATACCGAAGAATATTGGACTTTGGTGGTACTCAGGGATTCACAAAACAAACAATATGTATATAAACCATACACATTTTAATACATGAAACATTTTAAAAAATCACATTGACAATTTTAAAAACTTTCCTATCAATAATAATTGGTAACAAGAATATGTATTTTTTATATTCTCTCACACAGGTAAGTCTCTCTGGAGACCCATATAGTATTCAAATGGTAATATTAATATGTATTACTATAAAAGATTATAGGCAAAAGGGTGTCCAGGAGGAAAAATCTCTATGTTTCTCTCCTCTACGCGTTTCCCATATAGTAACTGCTTCTTCAGGAGAAGAAGATGTAATAAGTCTACAATAAAACTTAAAGTGGTACAATGCACTTCCACAATCAAGTAAAAAATATATTTGCTAATTGCATTGTACCAACCAGTTGGAAGCACTCACTGTGACCAAAGACCTGTCTATAACTTGTACTTGAATTTGGCGCATGCTGCGCCACTTTTAAAAATGCATGCAAGACACTTTAGCAAAATCTGTCTGTGCCAGGGTCTTTCTCTGTATGTCAAAAGAGAACTGGTCTTAATTAGCTCCACTTTCTTAAGATATGAGCTGTCTGTATTTTATTTTGAATTTGGCTCATTCATTGCTTCACAATGTAAAAGTGGCACATTTTAGGACTACCTGAATTTAGTGCCTGCGTTACTGTCAGAACCAAACGTGTTTGCACATGCTTCTTGAATTTGGTGTAATACATTAACACGGGGGATTAACATCAGAAAGGTAGTGTAGAATATTTATTGAATTCCACCATTATGTTTTAGCAGACTGGAAAAGTGTTAGAACTCCAATCAGGTTTTTACTGCTGTTTGTGCCCCTCTTTGGGTAGATTCTCTTGTTTTACCCATAAGGCCTGAAAAGAGTTTAAATTTAAATGTAATTGACTGATATTGCAGACTGTTGGATTTAAATTACCTAATTTCAGCTTTAGCTGTTACATACCGTAGTTGGTAAAGTTTAATAAAGACACTAGTCCATCCAGTTCAACCTGTGTGGGTGTGTGAGTTCATGTCAAATAACTATTTCCCCTATTCAGGGCTTTATTTCAGAGGGGAATATGAGGGAGCATAGTTCCAGCACCTCCACCACTGAATGTATGCAATGACAAGGGGTGCTGCTGTTTGCTGGAAGGTCTATTGATGCTGGCTGCTGGAAAATCTATTGTTACTGGAGGGGATCTATTTTTTCATGGTGGTCTATTGTTGCTGAAGGACAACTAAGTTAATAAGTGGACTGGGGGACCTCAGTTACTAGGAGCGACTAACACTAACATCGGGGGCGGACTGACAACTCATGGGGCCCCCGGCAATAGGGGATCATGGGGCCCCTGTGTCCTGGCCCAAACTCAAAAAAGCCTATGAAAAAGGTACCAGGGGCATCTCATGGGGCCCCCTACTGACCCCGGGCCCTCGGGCAGTGCCTGAGTTTCCAAATGGTCAGTCCGCCCCTGACTAACATTAATATACATTAATACTAACGTTAAACTTATTCTCCCTGGAGAAGAGACACTTGAGAGGAGATATGATAGCAATATACAAATGTCTTAATAGTGATTTTAGCATAAGAAATAAACTATTCAGTCGCAGGGAGTTGTTGCTGGTCGGGGATCTATTGTTGCTGGAGGGGATCTACTGTTGAGGGAGAGGTCTACTGTTTCTGGCTGCTGGAGAGTCTATTGTTGCTGGCTGCTGGGGAATCTTCTGTTGCTGCTGAGGGTCTATTATTGCTGGGGTGGTATTTTGTGCCAGGGTGTATTGTTACTGGGGGAATTTATTGTTCCGGGGGGGGGTCTATTGCTGCTGGCTGTGGGGGGGATTCATTTTATTGCTTTTCTTGTTATCATTTACAAATTCCATATGAATTACTTTGCACCACAAAATGATAATTGGCTCTGTGGTTTCTATAAGGAGCGGTACTGGGAGATGGGTAGGAATCAAGGGATGGTGCTCAGAAGTGGGTAGGGGGGGCGGAGAAGTGATTTAGAGGGGGGGATTTTCTGCACTTATTTTCTAAGAAAAAAAGCCCTGCCCATTTTCCTGTATATTGTGTTTGCTAAGATGTCCATCTAAGAGTTTTTTTAAAACTATCAATATCAATCCACATCCACAGTGGTCCACAGTGGTTATGTGTCTTCTTATACTTCCTGTGACTGAAGAGTGTATTTCCTATGCTAAAATCACTATTAAGACATTTGTATATTGCTATCATATCTCCTCTCTCAAGTGTCTCTTCTCCAGGGAGAATAAGTTTAATGTTAGTATTAATATATGTTAGTGTTAGTTGTTCCTAGTAACTGAGGTCCCCAAGTCCACTTATTAACTTTGTTGCCCTTCTCTGGAGTGGATTCTCTCCAGTTCCAGCACATCCTTCCTGAAGATTGGTGACCAGAACTAGATGGCATACTCCAGATGTCGCTGAACCAGAGTTTTATAAAGTGGCAGGATTATAGTTTTATCTCCTGCGTAAATACCCTTTTTTATGCATGCTAATATTCTGCTAGCTTTGCTTGTTGCAGCTTGGCATTGCTGAGTCTGTTATCTACTAGGACCCCCAGATCTTTTTCTATCCTTAATTCCCCTTAAACTTCTCTCCCTAACGAGTAACTTAATATTTTTAGCCCCCATGTGCATTATTTTATATTAGTTTAACTTTAAACCTCATTTGCCATGTATTTGCCCTCTGCTTTATTTTATTGAGGTCTTGTAAAGTTTCTATATCCTACTGTGAAGTTATTGCCCTGCTTAGCTTGTATTGTCAGCAAACACTGAGATTGAGCTATTTATACCAACCTCTATATCATTTATGAATGAATTAAACAGAACTGGTCCCAGGACAGAGCCTTGGGGTACCCCATTTACCACTCCAGCCCAGTCTGAGTACACGCTATTGATCACCGCCTGTCAGGAATGGACTTGCCAATAGTGGTGGGACTCACGATGCCTTGTGGGCTGCAGTACCTGTCAGGAATGGACTAGCCAGCAATGGTGGGACTCACCTGCCTTTTGATCTGCAGTACCAGGGCTGGCCAGCGGGTGCTCCCAGCAATCAGAGACTCAACTTTGCAGCCAGCTAACACCTGGAACTGATTATGCTGGGGTATTTAAGGGATGGCCAGACTTGCAGACTCTGCCTTGGTGTTGTGTTTCTCTTGGGCCCTGTATCCTGTTCCTGCTCTCTGTTCCTGTCTGATCCCTGGCTTGTCTGACCATCCCTCTGCCTGACCCTCTGTACTACTCTGCCTGCTACCTGTTCTGATCCCTGGCTTGTGACCCTGACCATCCCTCTGCCTGACCCTCTGTACTACGCTGCTAGCTACCTGCTGAACCTGGCCTGTGACCCCGACCAATCTCCGCTTGCTCCCCCTGTACCTACCTGCCCAATTGATATTGACCTGGCCTGCCTGACGACGCTTGCTTGTATGTACTGTTATCTGTGGGTGGTTGGTTTGGTTTGTTTGCACTGTATTATGTTTAGTATTGCACTGCGTTTATGTTTGTATTGTTAGTGTTAATAAATTATATTGTTTATCACATATCTGAAGTCTGCGTTTCCCTGCGTCAGTCACACACCTCTGGTCACACCTGGGAGCCCTGACATTACACCAAGGCCAATCCTGACCAGAAGTGGCTGCACAGGGAAGCCATCTTGGCTTGTTGCTGGGAAGGATGGATCTGGATGAGGTTGTGTATTTATCTCTGCTAGTGTTTGATGACAGGGAGTATGCTTATCAAACTCTGAAGGAGTATCCCAGGGATCAACTACTAGAATGTATACGGCTCGCTCATGTTCTAGTAGATCAGGGCACAGAGTTCTCTGAGGTGCAGCCTTTGATTGAGGTTTGTGCTGAGTTGGTTTCATCTGGTTCCCCCAAATGCAGGGATGAATTTTTGCCACCATTTAGTGCAGACCAGGTAGAGTCCCTGGTGTGGTTATTAGAGGATGATGTGGGTTACTTTCTGGAGCGTTATTCCACATGTTCACCACAGACACTAAGAGATTGTATAAACGCAGTGCAGTCATTGACCAGACAGGCTTTGTGTAAGCTCAGCTTTGTTCAACCCCTACTGCAGACATGGACAGACTTGTTGCACCCAGCCTCAGTCAGCTTACAAAAACCCAGTCCTGCTTCTAACTCTACTCCTGTATTCCCACCAGCTCCTCCAGTTACAGCCCAGTATACTTGGCTATCTACCGCATGTCAGTACCCTGTTCCCACTCGCTGCACCTATCCTGCCTTTAACCCTGTAAAAAAGCCCTCTGTAGCAACTGCTCCCTCTCCTGTTCCATCCTCCAGTTTTTCTCTGTCTCCAGCTGCTCCATTCGTTTGCAGACCTGCGTTTACTTGCAGTGCTCCAGTAGTTAAAACCAGAAAAAAGCGAAAATTCTTTCCAACCAATACCATCCTGCCAGTATCCAAACCGGAGAGCCTGCCTTCCGTGGTTCAGCCTGAAGCCTCTACTCAGCCTGAAGCCCCTCTACTCAGCCTGATGCCTCTCCTCTACTCAGCCTGATGCCTCTCTTCACCTCAGCCTGATGCCTCTCTTCAGCCTGATGCTCTCTTCAGCCTGATGCCTCTACTCAGCCTGATGCCTCTACTCAGCCTGATGCCTCTACTCAGCCTGAAGCCTCTACTCGGCCTGATGCCTGCATTCAGCCTGATGCCGCTACTCAGCATGATGAACTGATCCAGCCCGACGATCCTATTAGGCCAGTTGACTCGATGCCCGCTGTTGATCCAGATGATCCGGTACCTGATCCAGTGCCCGCTGTCGTGCCAATTGACTCAGAGCCCGCTGTCATACCTGGTGACCCGGTGCCCACTGCCTTGCCAGATGACGCGGTGCCCGCTGGCAAGCCAAATGACCTGATGCCTGGTGACCCAGTGCCCGCTGTCATACCTGGTGACCCGATGCCCGCTGTCGAGCCAGACAATCCGATACCTGATGACCCGGTGCCCACTGTCGTGCCTGTTGACTCGGAGCCCACTGTCTTGCCAGACGACTCGGTGCCGCTGTTCCGCCAGTCGACTCGGTGCCCGCAGTCTTGCCAGACGACTCGGTGCCCGCAGTCTTGCCAGACGACTCGGTGCCCGCAGTTCCGCCAGACGACTCGGTGCCCGCTGTTCCGCCAGACGACTCGGTGCCCGCAGTCTTGCCAGATGACTCGGTGCCCGCAGTCTTGCCAGACGACTCGGTGTCCGCAGTCTTGCCGCAGTTCCGCTGCCAGTTGACTCGATGCCCGCAGTCGACAATAGCCCGCAGTCTTGCCAGACGACTCGGTGCCCCAGTCTTGCCAGACGACTCGGTGCCCGCAGTCTTGCCAGACGACTCGGTGCCCGCAGTCTTGCCAGACGACTCGGTGCCCGCAGTCTTGCCAGACGACTCGGTGCCCGCAGTCTTGCCAGACGACTCGGTGCCCGCTGTTCCGCCAGACGACTCGGTGCCCGCAGTCTTGCCAGACGACTCGGTGCCCGCAGTCCCCGCCAGTTGACTCGATGCCCGCTGTTCCGCCAGTTGACTCGATGCCCGCTGTTCCGCCAGTTGACTCGGTGCCCGCAGTCTTGCCAGACGACTCGGTGCCCGCAGTCTTGCCAGACGACTCGGTGCCCGCAGTCTTGCCAGACGACTCGGTGCCCACTGTCGTGCCTGGTGACTCGGTGCCCGCCGCTTCGTCTGGGGGCCCGAGACCTGTTGCTCCGCCCGGGGGCCCGAGACCTGTCGCTCCACCTGGGGGTCCGGCGCCCGCCGCTCCGCCTGAGGGCCCGAGACCTGTTGCTCCACCTGGGGGTCCGGCGCCCGCCGCTCCGCCTGAGGGCCCGTTACCTGTCGCTCCATCTGGGGGTCCGGCGCCCGCCGCTCCGCCTGAGGGCCCGAGACCTGTCGCTCCGCCTGGGGGTCCGGCGCCCGCCGCTCCGCCTGAGGGCCCGAGACCTGTCGCTCCTCCTGGGGGTCCGGCGCCCGCCGCTCCGCCTGAGGGCCCCGAGACCTGTCGCTCCACCCTGGGGGTCCGGCGCCCGCCGCTCCGCCTGAGGGCCCGAGACCTGTCGCTCCATCTGGGGGTCCGAGACCTGTCGCTCCACTTGGGGCCCGACGCCTGTCCGCGCCGCCCGCTCCGCCTGGGGGCCCGAGACCTGTCGCTCCATCTGGGGGTCCGGCGCCCGCCGCTCCTGCCTGAGGGCCCGAGACCTGTCGCTCCGCCTGGGGGCCCGAGACCTGTCACTCCATCTGGGGGTCCGGCGCCCCTCTGCCCGGAGTCCCCTGCCGGTGCCGCTGAGGGCCCGAGACCTGTCCGCTCCGCCTGGGGGCCCGAGACCTGTCACTCCATCTGGGGGTCCGGCGCCCGCCGCTCCGCCTGAGGGCCCGAGACCTGTCGCTCCGCCTGGGGGCCCGATGCCTGTCGCCCCTCCTGGGGGGTGCCCAATGCCGGTCGCCCCGCCTGGGGGCCCGACGCCTGTCGCCCCTCCTGGGGGCCTGGCGCCCGCCGCTCTGCCTGGGGACCCGATGCCGGTCGCCCCGCCCGGGGGCCCGATGCCTGTCGCCCCGCCCGGGGGCCCGGTGCCTGCTGCTCCGCCCGGGGGCCCGGTGCCTGCTGCCCCGCTTGCCGGGGGCCCGGTGCCTGCTGCCCCGCCCGGTGGCCCGCTGCCTGTTAATGCTCACATATCTGCCTGGTAATCCGATGTGCCTCTGCCCGGAGTCCAGCCCGATGTGCTCTCAACAACCAGAGGTTCACTTTGGCAATTAGCCATCACCTGGGGCTGATTGCAGGTGGTTTATTTAAGGGATGGCCAGACCTGCAGTCTGTGCCTTGGTGTGTGTTTTTCCATGGGCCCCTGTATCTGGTAACCTGCGTTCCTGTTTCTGCCTGACTTGTTGCCGACTCTGCCTGATCCTGACCTCTGCTGACTTCTCCTGTTTGATCCCTGGCTTGTGACCCTGACCATTCTCTCCGCCTGCTCCTCCTGTACCTACCTGCCCGATAGTTATTGACCCGGCCTGCCTGACTACGTTGTGCTCTATATGTGTATGTACCTGTGTATCTATACCAGTTTAGGTTTGGGTTTGTTTCACCTTGTTGTATGTATTTGTGTTAGCTTGGGGTTTGGTGCACTGCGTTTATATTTGTATTGTTAGTCTTAATAAATTGTCTTATTTATACCATATCTGAAGCCTGCGTTTCCCTGTGTCAGTACACACATCTCTGGTCACACCCGCATCCCTGACACCGCCCTTTTGACGCACCCCTGTAACCCATTTTATATTCATGAACAAACCCTATGGACCATGCCTACAGACCTCAATTTGTAAATTAAGCATTTATGGGGGACCGTATTGAAAGCTTTTACAAAATCCAGATACACCACATCCACCGGCCTTCCCTTGTCTAAATGGCAGTTCACTTCCTTGCAGAATGTTAACAGATTGGTTTGGCAAGAATGACATTTTGTAAATCTATGCTTGATACTGTTTTCATAAGCAAATTTTCAGAAATGGTCCCTTATCATCAGCTCCAATAGTTTACATACTATTGATGTTAGACTAACTGGCCTGTAGTTTCCAGGAAAATATCTCTGCCCTTTTTTAAATGTTGGAACCACATTGGCCCTTTGCCAATCAGCTGGTACCATTCCCGTCATTATGCTATCCATAGAAATTAGTAATAGCAGTCTGGCTATAACCTGACTGTGAAAATGTTATTGTCAATTTGATACAACAGAATTTTGGGCAGTTAGTGATATTCATTCACTAATAAAAATATTTACTGAAATTAAAATAATCTGTTTTATCAGCACAATAAGAACTCTGTTTTTATATGAGTATACAAAGAACATGTCATTACTATCACATAACACATGTATATTTGATGACTACTGCAGAGGTACACATCACTGCCATACCTGCTGTAACTGATCATGGAGATCTTGTGTAGTAGAGAGACGTGAATGTTTCCTTCTTATCTCCTCCAATAAAACGTCTGATGCATGCCTTAACTCGTTGCATTGCTGACAGATTAAATTAAGTGCATAGTGATGATTTGCTGCTAACTGGTGGCCATGTAGTATCACCAGCTGGGACCTTGCTGTTAAATCCTGTGGGATGAACACATATTGTTTTTAAGACATTTTTCCCATTTTCAGAACTTTCTCTGTTAAAAAACAACAGTACATTCTATGTGTAATGAGGCACAAGCATACTAAATCCTTTGCTAGGATTTATCAGGCTACTATGTCCTATTACTAAAGATGATCTCCAGGCAGATATAAAACACACACAATAATTTAACGCTATGTTCATTAGTACACATTAAATATATTTATATATAAACAGTGTAAGGTCCTGAAATTGATTTGGTATCAGAGGACTCAAGGACTGCAAAGTAAGAATGGGAGAGGGAGAAGCAGTACAAGCAGCCATAGTTGTGCTGCAGTGCTCATATGCTAACAAGAAACATGCTAATCGGGATCATACAGTGGCGTGACATCAGCAGCTCTCTAAGTTAGTTGTTATACTTTTTTTGCTGTCACATTGTTTTAACTGGATGACTGGCTCTGATCTACAATACACCTTTATTAAAACTACGACACTATTACTGTCTGTCGGCTCCTTGGTGAGTACTGTCTGTTCCAGTTGGAGTTCCCTTTTGCTGCTAAGAGGAATGATTCCAGAGTGGAAGTGCATCCACCTGCAGAGGATCTGTGCCTGAGAAACATGCTGTGTCTGCTGTACTTATTACAGCTTATGGTCTGGTAAGCATGCATATGATTAAGATGGTGGCACTCTGTGTGTTTTTGTTATACTACAAGGATCTAATGGATGGTGGAAGATCTTTTTTATCTGAGTATATATGGACTTTGACTTGGCACATTGAACACTGTTTATTTATTTTTGTATGTTTTTGTTAAATTCACTGCTCTTCATCATTTCACGATATTTTAAGTTTTTAGGTTTGAGCATATCAAACTTTGTTGGCCAGCAGCCACATGTGTTATCACAGTATGGATTCATTCCAATACATTCAACTTAATTACAGCAGAGAAAAATAAGGTCTGTGTGGTGTGCTAGAGCTGTGTAAATCTTAGAACTAGATGTACAGAAATAAAATGGCAAAAACAGGTCCTATATATGTATTCCAGCTATGTATTTACAGTAGCTGTTTGCTTAGTAAGCTTTAAACTAAATTGAACAATAAAACCTGTTAATTGTTCTGAACCCAATGATGTCTACAAATGGAGGCCAGCCAACATCTTACACCCTACAAAGTACATATAAAAAAACGATATAAGATGACACTTTATAATTATATATATATATATATATATATATATATATATATATATATATTATTATACACAGGTTGGTCTATGTACAAAAAAAACCCTGAATATATATACAAAAATTCACCTACCTGGGTGTAACCAGATCACAGACTCAATGGAATTTACAAACTGGTGATTGCAGCAGGCAAACAGTGAACTGGAAATGTCTTATAGCATTAAAGTTTTATTGTGCTTGTAACAAAAACACCCAGTCAGTATCCGACAGCCTCGGCCTACCTTGTAAACATTTAAAAGACATTTGGTCTTTCTTAAAAAAGAAAAAAAAGAGAAAATAAGGCATTTTGTTAAGGAAGAGTTCCATTGCACTGTATGGCCCCCTCCTGCTCCATCTGTTAAAGTACATACAGTAGGCTGCACAGTGCAATGGAACATATGCCAAAGTAACAAATTGTTTATATACCGTATTTTTCGCTCCATAAGAAGCACCTGACCATAAGACACACCTAGGTTTTAGGAGGAAAACAAGAAAAAAAATGTTCTGAACCAATGGACTGCAGACATAGTACAGGAGATGACCAGAGACTGCGGATGTACTACAGGAGATGACCAGAGACTGCAGACATAGTACAGGAGATGACCAGAGACTGCGGATGTACTACAGGAGATGACCAGAGACTGCGGACATAGTACAGGAGATGACCAGAGACTGCAGACATAGTACAGGAGATGACCAGAGACTGAAGACATAGTACAGGAGATGACCAGGGACTGCAGACATAGTACAGGAGATGACCAGGGACTGCAGACATAGTACAGGAGATGACCAGAGACTGCAAATGTACTACAGGAGATGACCAGAGACTATGGACACAGTACAGGAGATGACCAGGGACTGCAGACACAGTACAGAAGATGACCAGAGACTGCAGACATAGTACAGGAGATGATCAGAGACTGAAGACATAGTACAGGAGATGACCAGAGACTGAAGACATAGTACAGGAGATGACCAGAGACTGAAGACATAGTACAGGAGATGACCAGAGACTGCGAACATAGGACAGAAGATGACCAGAGACTGGGGACATAGTACAAAGGATGACCAGAGACTGCGGAAACAGTACAGGAGATGACGAGAGACTGTGGCCATAGTACAGGAGATGACCAGAGACTGTGGACATAGTACAGGGGATGACCAGAGACTGCGGACATAGTACAGGAGATGACCAGAGACTGTGGACATAGTACAGGAGATGACCAGAGACTGCAGACCTTTGGGGAGCGGGGGGGCGGGTACCTGAATTTGACAGGTACCCATTCCCACTTCCGCAGCGATCGCCTCTCTCCCCATAGTCTTCTGGAACACTTGACAGTCGCAAGCTGTCACAGCCGGGTGCCCACACTAAAGATTCCGGTGCCAGGGAGAGAAGACGGCTGGTGAAACCAGCGGTGATGAGCACAGAGCTGGACTGAGGAGCAAGGTCAACGAAGAATGTGCGCTGCATGTGCAGAGGATTATCTGATCTTGGCTTAATATTAATTTCAATAGACTGGCAACCATTGGCATTGAGACTGGTCAGGGAGTGTGATGTGTTTCCCTTTATATTACATATTACAATATTCTGTTACAGATGAAGCAATATAAAGAATATGTACACCTGGGTAGTTTTTGCATATATACAGAAACTGACACAAGAACAGACTTTTCTTAGTAGATAAATAAATAAATAAGTTTTCTTTAGAAGGAATTTGTCTAACATGAAGGCTTTTTTCCAGTCATACATTTTTCTGATCAGTGACGTGATCACATCAAGCTCAACACATACTTAAAATGAACTGGTATGAACAATGATTTACTATAGTTTACCTTTACATCCTGGATTCCACTGCTACTGTTTTGTTTTAAAGTATATGTAAACCCTCACCTTGTAAAACAACCCATTCAATTGAAAATAGAAATGAAAGGCAAAACATTTGTGTATAGATATAACTAAAACATTATAAATAAATTTTTTCCTTCTGTTCTCAGCTGCATAAAAGCTGGGGGAGGGGAACAGTGGCACATTGTTCTTCCCAGTTAATGGCTGTGTGGGAAGCAGGGGGGGGGGGGGGGGGGTGTCAGGACAAGCCTGATCGTTCAAGGAGAGCAGGCTCAGTTCCAGCACAGTGCTCTCATGCCTAGTGTGGTCAGTTTTTAATAGGAAAGGGACGGGCAGGAACACCAGGGATGTCACACAGAGGAAACAATACAAAGAGAACAGGATGCTTTTTCATAGAAGTACATGGTACAGCAGGCACATAGGTACATGAAATGTTGGGTTTACATGTTAATTAATTCAAGTCACAAATTAGGGAACACAAAATAGCAGTGAATCATTACATAAAACATTTAAAAGAAAAAATAATCAAATGGTTATAACATATGCATATTCTCATCGGTAATATCACCAGCTGCGCAAAACATTTGTTCTTCTAAAGAGTATTTTGTTATATTCTGTAACTACAGATAGAGCTATACCTAGACTAATTACATGAATCAAATGAAAATATCTTAAGAGTAACCTGTGGTTTCTGCTGAAAGTAAACTGACTATATAACAAACACTTCCAGGTTCCTGTATGCATCTCTAGTTTATTTCCAGACCTTGGTAGTCCAAAACAAACTGAGGTGCTCTATCATGCAAATTTGACTTCTGTATGGAAGTTTAAAGTGGTTGTAAACCCTCTCAAATACACTGTGAAGTGACTAGCCTCAGATGACACACAAATCCTCCTAAATAAGTTGTTCATCTGCAGTCCTCTCTTCTCTAAATCTCTTCAAAAGTGCTTAATTTAAATAAAATCCTTCTGTATATGTCAGCAGTACAGAGGAGGGGGTGGGGAGCTGCAGTTATGCAGTTAGAGCTCTTGCACAATGTGTGAGAGCTGACTGGAGGAAAGGGACACAACCCCCTTCTCACACAGCACAAGAACAAAGGAATGATGCAGAGCTGCATTGTGAATAGGCAAGCTATGTGTTGAGCTCTCTTCCCTGTCACTATGTTATCTTTGGTGTCAGGACAACTTGTCAAAAATGACACATACTGATAACAGAGAAACAAAGCACCAGAAAGAAATGACACTCAGAGATTTGGAGAAAAACAAGTAAACACCACAGATATACAGTGGATATAAAAAGTCTACACACCCCTGTTAAAATGTCAGGTTTCTGTGATGTAAAAAAATGAGACAAAGATAAATCATTTCAGATCTTTTTCCACCTTTAATGTAACCAATAAACTGTACAACTCAGTTGAACAACAAACTGAAATCTTTTAGGCGGAGGGAAGTAAAAATAAAAAACTAAAATAATATGGTTGCATAAGTGTGCACACCCTTAAATTAATACTTTGTCGAAGCATCTTTAGATTTTATTACAGCACTCAGTCTTTTTGGGTACGAGTCTATCACCATGGCACATCTTGACTTGGCAATATTTGCCTACTCTTCCTTGGAAAAACACTCCAAATCTGTCAGATTGTGAGGGCATCTCCTGTGCACAGCCCTCTTCAGATCACCCCACAGATTTTTGATTGGATTCAGGTCTGGGCCATTCTAAAACTTTAAACATCCTATGGTGAAGCCATTCCTTTGTTGATTTGGATGTATACTTTGGGTAGTTGTCATGTTGAAAGATGAAGTTCCTCTTCATGTTCAGCTTTCTAGCAGAAGCCTGAAGGTATAGTGCCAATATTGACTGGTATTTGAAACTGTTCATAATTCCCTCTACCTTGACTAATGTCCAGTTCCAGCTGAAGAAAAAGCACGAAGCACAAGCCCCAAAGCACGATGCTGCTACCACCATGCTTCCTGATGGGTATGGTGTTCTTTTGGTGATGTGTAGGGTTTGGTTTTTGCGCCAAACATACCTTTTTGAATTATGGCCAAAAAGTTAAACCTTGGTTTCATCAGACTATAACACATTTTCCCACATGCTGTTGGGAGACTTCAGATTTGTCTTTGCAAAATTTAGCAGGCATGGATGTTTTTCTTCGTAAGAAAAGGCTTCTGTCTTGCCACTCTACCCCATAGCCCAGCCATATGAAGAATACGGGAGATTGTTGTCAAATGTACCACATAGCCAGTACTTGCCAGATATTCCTGCAGCTCCTCTAATGTTGCTGTAGGCCTCTTGGTAGCCTCCCAGACCAGTTGTCTTCTCATCAATTTTGGAGGCACATCCAGTTCTTGTTAATGTCACAGTTGCGCCATATTTTCTCCACTTCATAATGACTGTCTTCACTGTGTTCCATAGTATATTGAATGTTCTTGAAATTCTTTTGTGCCCTTCTTCTGACTGATACTTTTTAACAATGAGATCCCCCTGATGCTTTGGAAGCTCTCTGCGGACCACGACTTTTGCTGTAGGATCTGACTAAGAAAATGTCAGGAAAGGCCTACTAGAACAGCTGAACTTTATTTAGGGTTAATCAGAGGCACTTTAATGTGATGGCAGGTGTGTGCTGGCTCCTATTTAACATAATTTTGAAGCTACATCCCCAGTTATAAGAGGGTGTGCACACTTATTCAACCACATTATTTTAGTTTTTTTATGCTTACTTCCCGCCCAAAGAAAAAAAAAGATTTCAGTTTGTTTTTCAATTGCGTTTTACAGTTTATAGGTTACATTAAAGGTGGAAAAAGCTCTGAAATTGTTTATCTTTGTCTCATTTTTTACATCACAGAAACCAGACATTTTAACAGGGGTGTGCAGACTTTTTTATCCACTGTATACTGTATGTTTTGTTCCAGTTTCATGGCTGAGCTTCACAACCACTTTAAGTCAAGACTTGCTCCCAGTACTTCCCAATTTTTGGCTTTACTGGCCAATGGAGAGGTGCACGGGGTATGCCAGAGCTCAACTGGAGAGCTGAAATGTTCATGTTCATGAAATGTTACTGATTGTAATTCCATGCTTTGTATTATGACCTACTTTTCAATACGACCCACTGTATTTAGTGTATCATCTGTACTACTACTCTGATCTGGAGTTTTCTTTTCTCTGATCTTTTAACTCTGTATTGTTTTCTTATAAAATTCAATAAATATATTTTTAAAGTAAAAAAAAAAGCTCACCTGTGCTCTTTCATCAATATTATTTAATTCCATGATGCGTTGTCTGACATCAGATAAATTCTCTCCTGTATCTGAAAGACCGGCTTGTTGTACCATCAAAAATTCAATGGTGCTCTTCAGCTAGCAAAGAATAAGTTTCAAACATTTATATATATATGTGCAAGTAATAGATACTACACCTATTTAGTGATGATTACACATGATAGTTTATAGATAGATTTTTGATTAACCACCAATGAACCTAAATATGGCTGCACACTTTGTGACTCTGAGTCATTTTTGAGCCACTGGGAATCACAAACATGATCGCACGTGATCTTGAAAATCTAAGCAATCTACTGCACATGGGTTCAATCAACCATGCTAATTCAGTTTATTGTGAAGTTAAAACTTGGAAATTAGTGAATAGCTTCAATGAATTTTTTTTTATAAATCTTGAACTGAAATGGTACCAAAACTGGAAATAAACAATGGTAATTTTGTCTAATGTGATCAAATGTTTTTCTGCAATCAATCAAGTCAATTTTGATCCCATCTCCTTGCAGTGTTTAAACACACCTTTTGGGGGAATTTACTAAAATATGTGCACACAGAAGTTAAAAAATGATTGGTTACTAAGCACAGCTTTACAGATTTTGTGTGCACCACTTTTGGTAAATTGTGTCAGTTCCTTTGCAACTGCAACAGAGAATGGAACTGAGATTTTATTAGCTCAAAATGTAAATGGCCAGCCTACAGCACAAGCCGGTTCATGTAAGTAAGCTAGTAACTACATACAATAACCAGAATTTTAAACAAAATATTTAAGGAAAAGTCTATATTTCAAAAGTGGTATATAGCAATGAAAAACAGACTCAGTCTGCAGACAGTCATGTCATATATTATAAGGCATCACTGTACCTCTTCAAACTGCTGTTCAAACTTCAACAGCTCTAAATATTGTTCTATTTTCTGCTGGTGTTTCTCCCAAAATCCATCAAATGCACATTCCATCTCATGTAGTTGTGCTAAAAGCCTGAAAAGACAGAGACCCATCAGGAATGATATTAAATGATGTACAGCTGTTATATGGAAATAGTGTACGTTATCTATGCTTTGCAGTGACCAGAGGTGCCCCCAATGTGTTACAACCTATAGCTGCCTTTCTAGATTCTAATGCATACTTGCAATGGAGGCAGAAAGACATGCCAAGTCAATAGATTCAGCCCCATTTCTATCTCTGGTGTCAAAATACCTTGAAAAGTAAGTGGCCGAAAGGAAAGGAGGTGCAGCGTCAAACAGGGACATAAGCTGTAGGTCCACACATGAAAGTTTCAGCATGCAGCTAGTGTGAACAAGCCCTCAGTGTGAATAGTCTGGGCACAGGTTCCATTTAATCACTGTTATCTCACTAACAGAATCCCTAAAACTAACTGCCAGGCGGTTTAATTCTCCAGCACCTGTCAAAAACTGAAATATAGGTTCTGGATTGACTGACACACCATGGTGCAAAAATGTCAGTTTTTCTGCATGTGTTCTGTAAGGACACAACAAAATCAATTGTTCTCTATGTGCCCTGTTCACACCACAACACTAGTATCACATGCAGATTTTTTCTGCTCAGGAATCTGCAACGTGAATAAAACGTATTGAAGCGTGCATGAAAACTCATGTAAACTTATGTCTCTGCAAGTGAAATCTGCACATCAGTTTCCATCAATTTTTCTGCACAAATAGTGGGAACGAAGCCTTAATGAAAAAAAAATAAAATAAAGAAAATACTACTGTCCCACTCAAACATGCATATCAACCAATTCAAATAACTTCTAAACAATTTAACATTACAGTGTATGTACTTCTATAAGACCCAAGGTCATTCCTGTTAAATTGCATAACCACATTTATACTAATCTTTTTCCAACATGGCATGTAATAGCACATTCAAATTAAACATGTAAATTCAATTGGGGACATAAAACACAAAGGCTCCATGCACACTGGGCTTAAAAATAAAACACCAGTTCACTTGGCAGAAAAAAAAGCTGATATAGAGTTTTTGTACACAGTTTAGGAGAGTTTAGCATTTTTTCTGCTAGAAAGCTCCAATCAAAAAAAAATGTTTTTTTCCTGCCTCTAAACGTTGAGCTTTAAATATCCTTCTAATCGTCTTAATGTGCACGGACACATAGGATAACACTGAGCTGCTTCTACAGGCAAAACACAAAACTCCTGTAGAAGCAACGATTTTTAAAACAGTGTGCATGGAGCCTAATATGTATAAAAAATGCAGACATTTTATCATGGATATATTAGGGGGGATTTTGTAAAACTGGAGTTTGCAAAATCTGGTGCAGCTCTGCAAAGAAACCAATCAGCTTCCAGTTTTAAATGTCAAAACTTAAAGTGGTTGGAAAGGTTCAAGGTTTTTTACCTTCATGCATTCTATAAACAACCTGTGTGCAGCAGTGCCCCTAGCCCCCTCAATAGTTACCTGAGCCTCATCGTAATCCAACGATGTGAACAACAGCCTCGCGTGTCCTGGGTCTCTGCCTCCTCATTGGCTGAGACAGCAATCGGGAGCCATTGGCTCCTGCTGCTGTCAATCACAGCCAGCCAGCCAATGAGGAGAGAGAGGGGGTGGGGCCAAGCTATGGTTACATGTGTGAATGGACACACAGAGAAGTGGGTGCCCCCATAGCAAGCTGCATGCTGTGGGGGCACCCGACAGAAGGGAGGGGCCAAGAGAGCCTGCGGGGGACCCGAGAAGAGCAGGATCCAGGCCGCTCTGTGCAAAACCACTGCATACAGTAAGTAAGTATAACATGTTTGTTATTTCCCTCCCCCCAAAAAAATTAACCTTTAGAATCATTTTAATTGAACAAGCTGAAGTTAGAAGCTGATTGACTACCATGCACAGCTGCACCAGATTCTGAGCATTCCAGTTTTAGTAAATCTTCCCCATTGCTTTTTACAGTAAAATGTTGACAAACTATTTACTTCACCTGTTCACAGTATCCCAGTCTCCAGGTTTTTCACAAACTTGCTGTCCGCTGACTAAACTTGTGCTTTGTCCTTCAAAACTGTTCAGTAATAAACCCCCTTCTCTCATTACAGAAGTGATGTCTTTCTACGTGAAAAGAAAGCAAAATAATGAGAACACAAAGAAAAAGTGCACTATGCTGACTTCAACAAACTGCTGCGCAATGCAAATCCTAGGTAGTAATAGTAATAATAACAATATTAATAATAAAAGCAATCTTTAGGAATAAAGCAAAATTAGCCATAGTAAAAGAGATCTTCTTGAAATAAATACAAACAAGTCAGCTGCCATTATAAGTTGCTGAAAACTGCTCTCTGGCTATAGTGATTTACTGCACACTATTGTTCAAGTGGAATCCCAGCTAAAAATTAAAATCTTCTCTTGGTTAGTATGTATAAATATGAAAACTTTTATATTATGCATTATTGCAATTGCTGATTGTCTGATTAGAAACAATGTCTAATCTACACAATCAGCAATCCTCCTGAGCTTTACCAACAACGCTGTGCCTGTGCAGCTAAATGTGGCTGCTCACAGGCACTTCCTGGAACCATTGTTGGTGTCTGTGTAAGCATCACAGCATAGCTCCGACCAGCCCCACCCCTATCTCACCCAGTTCCATCCCTGTCCTAGCTGGTCCCATCCTGCCCAGCTCCACCCCTGTTCCTCCAGGACTAGCATCTGTGTTATGGTATGTTCCAACAGGAATGTGCTTGAGCTCCTCTTGTCCTCCTCTAGCTTTGGCTTGCAGAATGGAAGGAGAGCTGTAAGGGAGCCTCTAATTATTCTATAGAAACATCTTTTACACATTTTACTCATATCAGTGTACTAGTATGGTGTAACTGGTGGAATGGAGTTAAACAAGACGTATGGGCCGATTAGAAAAACCATTATACTCATCTAGGTGGATGCTGCATTGGTCCAATGCTGCATGTGTCCACCACTCATATACACTAGTTAACCTGTCAAAAAAAGCCAGTATAGTCAGTTAGACTCCTGGGATATAGATCTGGTCAGTTAAATAGCAGAGGGGGTTGTTAATCAGTTTCAGCTGCTTTGGTATTAATGAAATAAACAACAGGTGCACTAGATGGGCAACAATGAGACGACACCTAAAACAGAAATGGTTTTACAGGTGGAGGCCACTGACATTTCTTTCACTACTCATCTTTTCTGATTGTTTTTTTTCACTAGTTTTTAATTTGGCTAGGTTCAGTGTCACTACTGGTTGCATGAGGCGATACCTGGATGCTAGGCAGTCCAACTCTTTCAGGATACGTGCCATTGCCATTGTCTCAAGAGCATGAAGGAAATTCCAGGAGACAGGCAGTTACTCTAGGAGAGCTGGACAGGGCCGTAGGTCCTTAACTCATGAGCAGCACCGGTATTTGCTCCTTTGTGCAAGGAGGAACAGGATGAGCACTGGCAGAGCCCTACAAAATGACCTCCAGCAGGCCACTGGTATGAATGTCTCTGACCAAACAATCATAAACAGACTTCATGAGGGTGGCCTGTCGGCCAGACATCCTCTATTGAACCTTGTTTTTACTGACTGGCTCCATAGAGCTTGATTGGCATTTGCCATTGAACACCAGAATTGGCAGGTCCGCCACTGGCATCCTGTGCTTTTCACAGATGAGAGCAGGTTCACCCTGAGCACATGTGACAGATGTGAAAGGGTCTGGAGAAGCCATGGAGAATGTTATGCTGCCTATAACATGGTTCAGCATGACTGTTTTGGTGGTGGGTCAGTGATGGTCTGGAGAGGCATATCAATGGAGGGACACACAGACCTCTACAGGCTAAACAATAGCAACCTGACTGCCCCTTAAGTATCAGGATGAAATCCTTGGACCCATTGTCAAACCCTACGCTGGTGCAGTGGGACCCAGGTTCCTCCTGGTGCATGGCAATGCCTGGCCTCATGTGGCGAGAGTATGCCGGCAGTTTCTGCAGGATGAAGGAATTGATACCATTGAATGGCCTCCACACTCGCCTGACCTAAATCCAATAGAACACCTCTGGGATATGATGTTTCAGTCCATCTGCCGCTGCCAGGTTGTGCCTCAGACTGTGCAGGAACTCAGTGATGCCCTGGTCCAGATCTGGGACGAAATATCCCAGGACACCATCCATCGTCTCATTAGGAGCATGCCCTAGCATGGTCAGGCATGCATACCAGTACGTGGGGGCCATACAAACTACTGAGTACCATTTTGAGTTGCTGCAATCAAATTTCAGCAAAATGGACTAGCCTGTTGCATAATTTTTTCACTATGATTTTCAGGGTTTCTGAACTCAGACCTCTGTAGGTTGATAATTTTAATTTCTATCAAACAATGGGGCATCCTTGCATTCCTAACACATTACCCAAAGTTTGGAGGCCACCCCAAGTGCTGCCTATGTAAAATTCAGAACACAGTGGTAACAGTATTTAGGCTATAATTTTGCATTTCTCACATTTTACTTTTTGGGTACCCAATGATTCAGTAAAAGCATGCAAACCTAGGTTTTAAGAGATTGTATTTTAAAGCCTAAAGTGGTTGTAAACCTCAGACATGAAATATGAACAACGCATATTCCTCTATAGTGTGTACTTGTCTCAATTCAGAACACTAAGTGTCATTTCTGTCCACTGTCTCATTTCTCTGCATGAATGACTTCTGACAAGATTTCCTGACACCAAGAGAAAAATGGTGACCGGGAGGACACAGTGACTGACATCCTCAGCTCTGTTCCTGTGTGTTGTGTGATGGGTGGTGTGTCCCTTCCCTCCAATCAGCTCAGCTCTCCTCTGACTTCAGCGCTCCACCCCCTGCTTTTCAGAGCTCGGAGATCCTATATAAACTCTGCACTTTGAATGGATGTAGGGTACAAATGGCTGAATATATAGAGACAAGATTTGTTTCATGTCTGTGTATCACCTAAGGCCAGTCACTTCAGAGTATATGTGAGGGTTTACAACCACATTAAGTTTTTTAAAAAAAATTTTTAAATCACCACCAGGTTACCACAATGAATAAAAAAGTGTGCCATGTGCTGGTGGCTGTTATCACTTTCATTCATCATAAGTACCACACCACAATAAGTATACACAATAGAGAAATTGATTTACACAATATACCGTACATTAAAAAAAGTTATAACAAATACATGGGAAATATGCTTTTAGAGTGAGCAGTTCCACCTTACATCACTACATTATATATACAGAGCTCTCAGCACACACAGGACTATTTATTAAGTCATAGAGAAGCAGATAATGGGGGGATTTACTAAAACTGAAGCATGCAAAATCTGGGGCAGCTCTGTCCAGAAACCAATCAGCTTCCAGGTTTTTTTTATCAAAGCTTAATTGAACAAGTTAGAAGCTGATTGGCTACCGTGCACAACTGCACCATATTTTGAGTGCTCCAGTTTTAGTAAATCTCCCTCAATATGTAATAATCCATGGCAACCAATAAGAATTTACTTTTCATTTGTCTGACTACAGTTACCTGAATTTTGATTGACTTTTGGAGTTTACTGCTCTTTGCACTTTAGTACTGCTCTTTAGAACTGTCCTATTAAATCAGCTTAACATTCTTTACCTATGAATAGGATTGAGCAAAAATTAAATATGTACAGTACCCAGAGCATTTAGCCAGAGTGGTTTTCATCAGTTTGGTGAGGTCGGATTGCTAAAAGATAGTTTCTGATTGGCTGCTGGAGTTTGCTGAAAATTGCTCTGTCCCTTAAAATAAAGACACAAGTGTGTTTTGATTTTGTTAGTGGCCAAGTGGAAGAGAAGCAAGCATGAGGACCTAGTATCAAGAAGCAAACAGAGGTTGTCTTTGAACGTACAAGTTACAAAGTAAAATTCTTTTTTTATAAAGAAAAATTGCATAATCTGTCTTCATAAAATCCAATTAAACATACCTTCAACTGGCAGTATTTTTCTGTGCGGTTTGCTAGAATGTGTTCAATTGAATATATGTCGCTGGGTAATTCTGTCTCAGCCAATTCTGTACCGAAGGACTGCAGCATCTGGGCAATTTCCTTCACTGTCAACGCAAAACCTTCAATGGCCTGTTTCAGGTTGTCAAGGAAAACAATAACATTCAAAACTGTTAAACAAATGTGTTACAGAATTTATTTTGAAAAGAATAGGTAGGAACTGATATATATATGTATATTGTATATTAAAAAAAATTAGGGTGCCATATTTTAGTCTACTGAGCATATGGTTGGTGAGGGTGATGTTCCAAAGATACTTTATCATCAACACAGGGCCAACAAAACAAATGCAACCAAATAAAGAGGATGCCCTTCTAAAATCAATAAATGCAGCCAATTAACTGGCTACTGTATGAAAAGCACAACCTGTTTCGTATATCTTCTGAGATCTCACGTGGTGAAGTCTTTGGGTTTAAATTTCCTGGTTTGTAAACCTTCTGCAACTATTACATGGTTATCCCACTATCCCTGTTTTATTAATTATTAATTAAATATGATCGAGAATGCAACCGAAGGACTGGGAATACCAAAAACTCTAAGGGTCGTGGTAACAAAGGTATGAGCTATGGCAGAAAACATTCATATCTAGAGTGTTCAAATGATATCAGAAGCCCTGAAGGTTATTGAACAAACACCATCTGTAATTGAAATAACAGAGGATGCTGAAGTGTAAAGGAATTAGCCTGTTCACATTCTACCTACTATTCCTGTAACAGTAGAACAGCTATTCTGCAGTCTAGGACCTAACAAAATATCTTCTCTATTTCATCATGCTGACTGCTCAACTTACACAGAGCAACTAAAGGCAGAGTATCATATGGAGTTGTTTCACTCTCCCTCATGCACATGGCAATTTTTTGACAATATTTGAAGATTTCTGTCTTCTTTAAAAAAAAGAAAAGAAAAAAAACACATACTGCATGGTCTACAACAACTCTCCGTGGCACGCGTGGTTACAAGCTCTCACACAACTGAAAATACAGTGGAAATAAAACAAAACTTCTACAATGCCAACTAAAAAGTATTTCTGGTCATAATAAAATCACTGGCCACTTTACCTGTTCCAATTGCTTGGTAACAGAAATTGCTAATCATCCAATCACATGGCAGCAACTCAATGCATTTAGGCATCTAGCTGTGGTCAAGACGACTTGCTGAAGTTCAAACCGAGCATCAGTATGGGGAAGAAAGGGGATTTAAGTGACTTTGAATGTGGTATAGTTTTTGGTGCCAGACAGGCTGGTCTGAGTATTTCAAAACCTCTGATCTACTGGGATTTTCATGCTCAACCATCTCTAAGGTTTACAAAGAATGGTCCGAAAATAAACAAATTCCAGTGAGCGGCAGTTGTGTGGTTGAAAATGCCTTGTTAATGTCAGAGGTTAGAGGAGAATGGGCAGACTGGTTGCTACATTCAGATGGTAGGGTCAGAATTTGGCGTAAACAACATGAAAGCAAGGATCCATACTGCCTTGTATCAAAGGTTCAGACTGGTGGTGGTAGTGTAATGTGGGGGATATTTTCTTGGCACTAGCAAGGTGTACCTAATAAACTGGTTGGTGAGTGTATACCTCAGTTTTGTTTGTTTGGCTACTTGAAACTGGGAAACAATCTAAACCTTGAGATACAAGATCACTATGGACTGTCAAATTTTACAAAATTGCGATGAGAGCTTTTAAAATTGTCACAACACTCCCAGGAGAATGACAGCATTAAAGGTATATGGACCACAATAGTTTATCTGAATAAAGTGGTTGCAGTTTTTCTAAAATGACGAGACTGTTATATAGCCATCTTAGATACAGGTATTGTCCTAACGGAGTTATTATTTTGTGATTTTTCCAATTGCGGGCTATGAACGATAAGGTATTTCTGTTTGGGATTACACAGAAACACTACTATATTTGCTATATTTTTAAAATAAATGATCCTGATCTGCATTCTTGTTCCAGTTCAGTGACTTGGAAAGTATTAACACTGTTGGGTCAGCATGGCAGCCAGGCAATATAAACATCAAAACATCTTTGGGACTTACAGTATTCATTACGGCGTAATGAAAAAGATCTAGTTTGCAACTTCACAACTTCTCCAGTTTTTTATCCAGCATGTTAAAAGCAGTGCTTAACGTAGAAGTAAATGAAAAACTTTTTTTTTTTTCATTTTGGATGGTGTAAGGGAAGTTATACTGTGTATACGAAAAAAATACTGTTAAGCTAGAGAAAGCTTTTAAAAAAAGTGGCTAGCATCATATATAGGATATACTATATATATAGCAGAAATTAAAAAAAAAAAATAGTACAGTGCTAAAAACATATGGATGACAAAAACACATTCATAAAGTTGACCAAAAAATAAAGTCCAAAGTTCCATATAGAGGTGACTCCTACCAAGTGAGTGAAATAAAGTGAAAAAAGGAGATCAACTTAAATTCAGTGTTATTTGCATCCAAAACACCCCATGTGCTTCACCAACCACTCTAAGGAGTATCAGAGTAACCCTCAATGCTTGTGTATTAATACAACCGCTTATACCTGTAAAGTAAAAGAGAGCCTTGGATGCAAATGCCTTTACTGGATTATCCACTAGTGGTTTGCTGAGAGTCGGCCTACATGCCAACACTTCAGTAATTTGCAAAGAGTCCTGTACAACGCCATCTTTTCCACTGTGACCTGTCACTTAGGGAAGCTAATACCTGAGAAAGAGCTACATGTGACGAGTGCTCTGTAAGAGAAAGGAAGATGGTGTTGTACAGGACTCTTTGCAAAAGAAAAAAAAAGCTAGGACACCAAAATAATTGATTAACCTTAAAAAAACCAATCAATTGTGTAAATAATACTCAGCACCTGTAATATTTTGTTACAATTATATAGGGTCTTGAAGTTTCCGCTGTGGCCAGCTGAGAGTCTTAAAGGCTATCTGCATGCTATGTGATACATAAAGCAACTCACAAATAACACAAGAAACAGATCACAGCTGTTTTAAATGTTTTAAGTACCATTCCGAGGAAATAGCCAGTGTGGTACCTAGAGATGGGAAGGCCTGGAAAACAAACAGAAAAACTGGGGGAAAAAACATTTTCTTCAGTTTTTTTCAAAGCTGTTTTTTTCCAGAAAAATTGGGGAAAAGAAGAAAGAAGTGTGAAATATGTTCTTTTACATTGGTAAATAATATATTTATGACAAGGTATTAAAACTATATAACATGAAATCCTTAATGAAAGGTTTCTGAGACTTTATGTAAAGTCTTAAATTATTGCAAATTCTCTTAGCTGAAGACAAGCAAATCCTGGAATGCAATCCAAGTAACACTGTACTTCTCAATGCAGTTCTCAAACAAGAGAAATTTGCATTCCTGCCACTAGAGGGCACTGCAGGAGAAAGGCTCCAATTTGCTTTAGTTTGCTTGTGGACTCCATCTTGTGCCTCCTGCAGTTGGGTGACTGTTGGGATACAGTAGATGATAGTTTCCTCTCAGGTCCTAATGACAGGTTTAGAGGGTAAATGTATCTGACAAATTACTTTATCTTTTATAACCTTTAAATGATTCCTATTAATGTTCTCTATCATCACAGCATAATGTTTACCTAAAGTATGGTCAGTAAATTGTTTTTTTTCTTTTCCTCCTCTCAGGAAAATGGTGAGACCAGCATCTAGAGTTTGGAAATATTTCAACAGTGCAATTTCTGCTGACAGCAAAGCAGCAATTTTCAAATATTGTTAGAAGAAATATTCTTTTCCAAATGCTACAAGGATGACAAAACACATCCTAGCATGCCAGAGGTGCCCTAAAGACATTACAAAATACTTAATGGAATTAAATGATGAGGACCATAATGAAAGGGCAAGTAGCTTTTCTGTCCAGAGTTCTCAATCCAGAAACACTCTTTCTGTTGCTTCTGGATAATCACAAAGTGTTTCTTCATTAGTAGCATCACCAAGTAAGGAAGTGTTACAAACCTCTGTTTTCCAGAAATACACAAGCCCTTCATTTATAGAAAAAGAGACACCTGAAACTCAGGAGAACATTGATAAAGCTCTTGCAAGAGCAATATATGCTTCTGGATCAGCATGGTCAAAAACTGAAAATGCACATTGGCAGAAAGCTTTAAAAATTTTATGGGGAAAGGGGGGTGGTTACCTGTTCTCATCTATAGCTGACATGTTCTTCACATATACAGTCCTTGTTATTCCATTTGTAATAAAAAATACAATTAAAAAAAAAACAAGTTTACTTTATTTACTGAATAAGGTTAACTTTAATTTCAAGCATAATACTTTTATATACACGGCATTTCACCTTACCAATGTAACAAAACAACTCTACACTGATTGTTTCTTTCTTCAGCTCTTCCAAAATTTCCATTTTTTTTTTCTGGAAAAAAACATGGAAAAAACTTTTTTTTTTCCCATGGCTTCAAAATTTCAATCACCGCTGTCTGCTCAGCCCCTCCAGTGCTCACTTGAGGGGGAGGGAGCGGCTGGCTCAGGCTCTCAGTGGCTCACTGTGAGGCTGAGCCAGGTGCTGCTTCAGACTCGGGTGCATCCTGACTTTAAATTCGGGATCGGCTGAGTGATGTCAGCTGATAGCGGGCTTCACACTGTTGTCAGCTGAAAACGGGTCACAGGAGTGCATAATGAACTGCACTCCTGTGATCCACAGAAGAAGTACAGCCAAAGGCGCTTTGACTGTTTTTCTCCTTTAAGTTGCCTTCCATACAGCTAGCTCATTTGTTTTGAATAGACTGACAGGACACTATGATACACTAAATATTGGCAGGCACCTTTTTATAAACGCAAACTGATTGCACAGCATGTAGTGTGCTGCAGTGTGGATTGCCAGCTACTGTATCAATGCATTGGAGTGACAATTCAAATGAGGGGCGCTGCATTGCAATGCTCTGCAGTAATGCATAGTAAAACAAATGCTCTGCTATGCAACACCACAAAACAACAATGTAATAGATACCTAAATGTTTTGTGTTGGGGTTGGAAAATTTAGACACATTAAAGGATATTTGTGAATGACGGGTTAGGTGAATAGAAAGTTCATGGACAACCAGGTCCTCACAGTAC